ATCCTTGTTATAAGGACCCCGAAATAAGGTACCCTTATTTTCGAAAACTCACATGTTTGTAGGGGTTCTCCAGGGATTGCAAGGGGCATTAGTGGGCTTGAGGTTTGCGGAGTGCACTTGTCTGCCGTCAACCGCTGCACACTGGTTAGAAGCTGTAGAGCATAATTGTCCTTCACCTTTGATTCCCTACTTGGAGTTTCATGGGTAGTTTTAAGTGGGGTCATAAGTAGGGTAACTATACTTATAACCCATATTAGGGGACTTATAACCCCACTTATAACTACCCATGAACCTCCAAGTAGACCGCGAACTCCTAAAGGGAACTCCAGAAAGTTGAATATGGATTAATGGTAGGATCCCCTATAATTTACCTTAAAGGGATTATGATAATGATATTCCAACTTTCCGGCTTCTACTGTAAACCCTAAACATGCCTTCGTTTTTCTGCGCTTGAACGCATGCAAGGCCTGCGCAGGCTCTCGTTGCCAAGTCAGCGGCTGTGAAGCTGCCCTCGATTAAAGGAAGGCCCGATTTAATGCAAGGGCCTTCACGGGAGTTGTGCTGAGCTGAAAGGCGGTCTGGAGAGTGTTTTTTTCTCGAGGTTTGCAAGTTTTTGATGTAGAGAATAGTATCAGTAATGCATTCCAGAAAGTTCCTGAACACACTCATACAGATCGCAAAAACTCGTCGAACTATGCAGTCGTTTAAACTCGACAATTTCATGGGTTCAAGGTTACTTCAAGGCTAGAGGGTCTCGGGTCTAGAGTATGAGGTTTAATTCCTTCAGGTGTTCAAGGACCTGGCTGAGGGTTCAGTAGCTATGTTGCAGGGTTCGGGCTGTAGGATTTAGTCTACTTGGAGGTTCATGGGTAGTTATAAGTAGGGTAACTATACTTATAACCCACATTAGGGGACTTATAACCCCACTTGTGACTACCCATGAACCTCCAAGTAGTCTTCTGGGTCGTGAGAAGAAGCAATCATACCGCTCGAACGGGACCTAACAAACAAGCGAGGGAGTGTTGTATGGTCTTATGGAGGTCTTTCCACGCCTAAGAGTCATAAAGGAGGATCTGTAAGCATCTTGTTCATGCATCGGAATCCTAATTTTTTGGGGAGGTTAAGGTATTCAAAGACTACACAAATGGAGAAGCGCTGTGGGACACTCCTCCAAATAATGGGCTCCTTCTCGGACATACGAGCAAGGCAAGATGAAAGGAGTAATCCTTTTAGTGTTGCGACTCCTCCGTGCCTCTCTTCTTTGCACGACCTGGGAGTTTCCGAAAATAGGGGACCGTAATATAGTACCCTTAATAGTAGGATCCTTATGATAAGGACCCCAAAATTGGGTACCCCTAATTTTCGGAAACTCCCACCTGCGTGCGACCTGAAGGCCAGTCGGCTCGACTCAAACAGGGGCTGCCTGGCAAGACAAGCGTGGTTTTTAGGTTTCAGGTGATTAACCCACTTGTGTCGTTCAACATTTGTGGACCTGCTTTCGACGTGTGATGAGGGATACTTATGGGGGCTGCCTGGCAAGACCAGTGGGGGAAAGGTTGGCAATGTTTGTGAATCGGTTCTTGGTTTTGAAGCCAGGTATTTCATGCCACTTTGTTGCACCTCCTTTGGGCAGGTCCGAGGTGCCCGTAAACGGGGTCTTGTCCATCCGTGATATGGTGTATTTCGCGCACAGCAGTGGGTAGGTGGGTGTGCCACGATGGCCGCATTGACTTGACAATGAGTTTTATGACTGACTCATGACCCCCCCCCACCGTTTCTAGCGATAAGCCGTCACATTTGGCAGGACCCGAAAACGATCGGAAAATCTTAGTCTTCATAGCGCCTCGATATCACGTGTCAAGTGGTTCTCAGCCGAGGATGACTCGCCGTTCGCGCCGCTTCGTGCGCGCACGCGGCGGAAGTCGGAGGACTGCGTAAGCGCCTATTCCATGTACCTACCCAGAGGCCCCATAGTAGCTCGTATTTTGCGGATTACCTTATAGGGTTCTATATATGAACCCCAAAAAGGAGATACTTTGGGGCCTTTGGGTATATAGTACATACATTGGCCTTACAGTACCTACATAGGAGCTTCTTGCAAGGCCTAAGTATAGCACAAGGAAACCGGATTAGTTATTTGATGATCCCTCGCTGTCTTAACCTAAATTGAAGCCCTTAGCAACAAGCCACTTGGAGGATCATGGGACTTAGTAAGTAAGGTTATAAGTACCTTAATTAGGGTTATAAGTAGTTATAAGTATAGTTACCCTAATTATAACCCTATATACTAAGTCCCATGATCCTTTAAGCAGGCTACATGAGGTTGCAGTCATCTTGCAGTCGTTGCAGTACCCGTCATCTGCTGCAGCTTTTGACGTCTCGAGTCTACATGTGAAGTGTTGAGCTCTTCGTTTAAGCCCCACTTCGAGGAGCACGGCAGGATTCCACAATGTAATCTGCATATTCTGTTGCCAGCTTGTAGAAGCCCCAAAGTTGGATGCCCAATAGCTTCAATCCTTAAGAGTAATTGTATAGGGAATCCCAGCACAAATTGTCCTTAATCTGGCTTCCAACTTTCGGGGGGTTTACCGTAAACGCCCTAAACCCTAAACACTAAACTAAACTGATGATAGCACCTTGGGCTCCGCCGGAGGAGTCTCAGCTCAAACGATTGGCGCCACGGCTGCAGTCGGGTATCCACAGGAGGGTATTGCTCGGAGGGTCGGGGAACTTAGCAAGTAGCTATTTTATAGAGTTGTAACTACCCTATCGCTTTAGGGTACTTAGAAGTCTGCTTACTACCTACTTACTAAGTCCCCCGACCCTCCAAGTAGACTTGAAGTGATGCGCTGCGGGGTGGACAAGGGTGTTGACGAGGGTTCCTGTGTTTTTGGGTGTCGAGGTTTAGAGGTGCTAGAGCTCGGCGATTTGGCGGTGTAAGGTTTAGGGCGTAGACGCCAGAATCTACAGCTATAAAGTTAAGGCTCAGGCTTGTGCGTTTAGGGTTCAGTGTTCGATGGGCTTCCGTTTGTTTGTGTTGTGGTTCGTAATTTTGTCTAGGTTATGTGCTCAGACATTGTGTTCAGTGTTCAAGCAGCTTGGATTTCAGAGACAAAGCATATAGTTGTTTTGCTTGGGTGTTCCGGGTTCATGGCTAAATATTATATTCTTACTGTTTAGTGCTCAGCGTTTGGGATTAGACGTTCCACTCGACCCCAGCAGCCGCGAAGCAAAGCTGTCAGGTTTAGTGTCTTCATAGATCGGTATTCTGGGTATGCTAGAGGTCGGGGGTGAGACCAGGAACCTGCATATGCCCGAACTGCGAGGATTTGAAACCCTGTTGGCCCGAAACCCCAAAGATGTTAATGGTTTAGTAAACTACTTACTGTGATTTCCTCAAACAAGTTCGTTTCAGGTTGGGGGGGTCCCATGGTCCGAAGCCTAAAGACGGCCTACGGCCTACCTAGAGGCTCCATTGTAGTTCCCTTTCTGTGGTTCATATATAGAATCTTTTAACTTGAAGGGAAACTACTGTGGAGCCTGCGGCCTACTGCCTGTTGCTACAGGGGCGGTCACCAGAAGATGATTCGCCACAGGCGGGTGCTGTTGGGATGGTGACTTCCAGGGTCGAGGCTAGCCCTAGAGGGGCTTAGGGTTAAATGGCTTAATTGGGGTTTAGTGTGTTTTAGAGTACCTTTAAGGGGTTACTATGAGGGCTAAAGTTAGTATAGGAGCCCGTTCAGGAAGTCCCGCATTGCTTGCCTTCACCCGAGACCTTAAACCCCTAAACACTAAACCCCAACCCCCTCTAAACCCTGAACCTCTATGAACCCTAAAGCCCACCCCCTAAACCCCAAGCCCCTATAAACCCTGAAGCCCTATAAACCCCAAACCCCATATAAACCCCAAACCCCTAGAAACCCTAAACCCCTAAACCCTAAACACCTTTTCAACGCTAAAGCCTAAACCTCTAAACCCCTAAACCCTAAACACCTTTTCGACCCTAAAGCCTAAGGTAGCAGCCAGAAAGTTGGAATATGATTATCCTAACCCTTCTATGGTAAATTATAGGGTATCCTACCCTGAAACCATATTCCAACTTTCTGGAGTTCCCTGTAAACCCCTCTTTAACCCTAAACCTCTATAGTAAAAGCCAGAAAGTTGGAATATGATTATCCTAAACCCCAAGACTCTTAAACCCCCCTTTTGGCCTCCCATGAAAACCCTCTTTAACCCTAAACCCCTAAGCTCATGTAGATCTGCAACGTAGAAGTTCTCGGCCCCAGGGCTTATAGGTGACCCTAAATACTTACCTGTAGGGTTCCTAGGGTTCCTTAAAAGGGTTACTATACAGGCTACCATAAGGGGTACTATGGGGGTTTAGTATAGGGCCTGAATTAGTACCAATACTATTATTGGGGGTTGCATATATATATATATATATATTTTTTTTCCATTTCCGTGCCTTCAGAGGTAAGTACGCGGCCCAATTAGACATGCAAACGGTTAGCAGTATGCGCTCAGGAAGGCAGGCGCCTGTGTATTTACAGCTCGCGCCTCTCAATCCTGGCGCAGAAATCTGCAAAACCCAGCTTTAGCGCAAGCATCGCCGCTGGATTAAACAATGGTGGAGAGTGACCCGGCACCGTAGAAGGCAAAAGCCGTCTCCAACTCAATCAAAATTAAGGGGCAATCCTAAGGCCTGAAGCTTTAGAAGCTACAGGAAAAACCAGGCAACCGTGCTATCGCAGCTGCCACAAAACAGACATCAAACGACAGTGCGGAGATCGCCCTGTAGTGGAACGAGTCTTCTCCTGGGCCAGGGAGCTATCTCATGCCCACATAAGAACAAAGCCCTGGGATGACACAGCGCCCTCTCCGAGGCGACTGTGATCATCAGCAGAAACAGCAACAATCTAACTTCTTGCACTAAAGACAAACTTACACTCAACATGGCAGTTCACCTTCAGGGTGATCGTTCCATGCTGGTGACCAACCTATTAGGCCAGCATCTGCTCAACAACGAGGCTCTCAGAACTCATAGCCGTAGTCTTCTTCCCCTCTCTCGCCATCAGCTGAGCCGTTTCGATGCCAACCTCTTCGTAGTTCTTCTCCAAGGCCGCCAAGTCTCTGCAAGCCTCAGAGAATGCGCCCTCTTCCAAACCCTCTCCAACGTAGTGGTGGACGAAGGCGTGCTTGGAGCACATCAGGTCAAACTTGTGATCGATTCGCAAAACACATCGGCGATGGCAGTGCCGTGCGAGATCGTGGTGTATGCACGCATGACCTTGGCTAAAACACCACCGGGCACCGCGGTGAGCGACTGGTAGATAATCCCGCATTTGAAGCCGGTGGGGCACCAGTCCACAAATTGGATGGTACATCGGGTGTTGACGGTCATTGATGGTAGCCGCCATGCCGCATTCACATCCTTCGGAACGACGTCGCCATGGTACGTCATGCAGCAGGCCATGTATTTGCACTGGCGTAGATCGCACTTGACCATCATGGCTGCCGGCTCGAAAGCGGACATGGTGATGTCCGCCACTGACAGCTGCTCATGGTAAGCCTTCTTAGCCGAGATGACCGAGGCATAGGACGTCAACATGAAGTGGATGTGTAGGTATGGGACCAATTTTGTCTGGGACTCTGTGTTCCAAGGTGAGCGTCAGGATCTTGACAAAGATCTGCATGCCGCCTCGCAAGTGCGGCGCCAAGTGAAGGGTCGATTCCTTCTGCAGGTAATAACCCGAAAGAGTACGGCCGCACTCAAACTGCCTGCCAGCAAAGATCAGGTGCTGCTGGTCGGCGGATGTCGGCGGGATGCCTGCCTTATCTTGGGACTGTGCCTTGACATTGTCGAACATGCCGCTGGCCCCAACGTCCAAGGTGAGCGGCAGGATCTTGACAAAGATCTGCATGCCGCCTCGCAAGTGCGGCGCCAAGTGAAGGGTCGATTCCTTCTGCAGGTAATAACCCGAAAGAGTACGGCCGCACTCAAACTGCCTGCCAGCAAAGATCAGGTGCTGCTGGTCGGCGGATGTCGGCGGGATGCCTGCCTTATCTTGGGACTGTGCCTTGACATTGTCGAACATGCCGCTGGCCCCAACGTCCAAGGTGAGCGGCAGGATCTTGACAAAGATCTGCATGCCGCCTCGCAAGTGCGGCGCAAGTGAAGGGTCGATTCCTTCTGCAGGTTGTAATCCGAAAGAGTACGGCCGCCCTCAAACTGCCTGCCAGCACAGATCAGGTGGTGCTGGTCGGGCGGGATGCCTGCCTGAATTTGGGACTTCGCCTTGGCATTGTCGAACGTGCCACTGGCCTCAATGTCCAACGTAATCGTCTCTCCTGTCAGCGTCTTGTCAAAGATCTGCATGCCGCCTCGCAAGCGCGGCACCAGGCGAAGGCGTGCCTTCCATGGGCACTGGGGCTACCGATAGTTCCGCGCTGCTGCGGCCATTCGAGCCCTATATATATATATATGTATATAGTACATTGGGCCCCGAACCCTATTCTAATTATTAAGGCCCCTACCTAGCCTACTTTACAGCTCTTACGAATTATGTTTCATTTTTATAAAAAAAGGAAACTTGCGGTGATTAATAACACTGCAATATAGTACCTTGTTTGGGGCTACCTAGTATATACTTTTAATTTATCTGGCTCCCATCGTAAAATAGCAGCTTAGATAGCCGACAAGGGTGTACTACTTGGTAGAGGGATCTGAAGAATGAGTAGTACTATTCCTTAGGGGGCTCCTTGTTACGTGGACTCATCCTGGAATGGACCCCGCAATCCTATTCTAAGAACTCAGACTCCTGCATTACCTTCAGCTCAACATTATAGTGGCCCTTCAAGTCCGCATGTTGTGGTAGGTGTAGGGCTTGTAAGGTATACGTACCTTTTTTTCAGGGATGAAGGGCTTTGTTTTGCTCAAGCACTATATATGGAGATCAAGTCTGATAAGTCTTATATGAAGCCTTGCGAGCCTCCTAGTCATACCCTAAACCCGAAAGACCCCAAGAGAATCCCCCCGTTTATATGAAGGAAGCCTGAAGCCTTGAATCTAAAAGCAGCACGAGGTTTGAAAACCCTATACGGTAGTCCTTCAGACACCCTTAGAGGAACCTTGAAGCCTTAATCCAAAAAGTAAATACATTGGCCTTAATGTAGTACTATATAGGTACTTAGTACTTTGGGGCTCATGTATCTCTATATGGGTACATGGACCCTTAGGGTAAGGCACCCTTCGAGGAAAACTAAAAGCCGTAAGAACTTCCTGGATGAAGCTCGCAGGCACTGCCGGTGCCACGCCCGCCCCGGCGCCGCGGGCGGAGTTCCGAACCTGCCGAGACGGCCGGGTTTTTCGGATTTGTGGTTCAGGGGTCTAGGGTGCTGGGGTTGCTGGGGGGTTTCGGGTTAAGGGGTTTTGTGATTTAGGGGTTTTGTGTTTAATGGGGTTTAGGATTTAGGAGTGTTGGGTTTCTGGGGTTTGAGGTTTACGGCTTGGGGTGTGCTTATGTCATGGGTGCGGTCTGGTGCGTGGAGCTCGCACCGCCGGTAGCAGACCACCCTGAGATACACCATTGAGAGCTATAGGGTGTAAGGGTCCATGTACCCATATTGAGATACATGAGCCCCAAAGTACCTCTATAGGGACTACATTAAGGCCATGTATATACTGTATGAGAAGCATGGATCCTTATACCCTAAACCCTTATAGATCCCTTAAAGCATCCCCTATGGTACCCTTAAAGGACCCATATACTATATGAGTACCCTGGGACCCTTTGTGTTTTATACGCCCTTTGGAGTCTAGGGGTCGGCCGGTAGGGCTCAGAGTCGAAGAACTACGTTTGAGGTTTTGTCTAGGTCCTAGATTTTAGAAGCTGCCCCGACCCTGTAATAGTGGTATAATAGGAATATATTAGGGCCCAAATATAATCCTAAAAAATCCTTATAGTCACTATTACAGGGTGGGGGCAGCTTCTAACCTAGATTCTTATAAACCCGTTATAGATCCCCATAGAGCCCTTATCTATCCCTCTCGTTCTCTAATTCTCTAATACACCCTATAGACAGACGCCTCAGGACTCCAATATCCCTTATTCAGGAATATACCTTAAATGGTTGTAGGATGCTCAGGATGGCTTAAGGTATATTCCTTAATGAAGGGATGTTGGAGTCTCGGATGACCCCTTACCCTAAAAATCCATGTACCCAAATAGTATATACGTTGGCCGCTGGCCCCAAAGTGCCTATATAGGGATTACTTTATGGCTTAAGTATAAACTATATATGATTATATGGGTACGTGGACCCTTACGGTTAGTAGGACTCCCCACCTCTTGAATAGGTTCTGCTCTTTTTCAGGCAGCCTGCCACTCTGAGACCTTGAACCGATGGAGACACTCGAAAATGCTAAGAAGCTCCAAGGCCTAAGTCCCTTCATGTATGGGGGATCCTTACCCAGGGGTTTGGGGTTCAGGGTTTAGGGGTTTTGGGGCTTTACAGGGAACTCCAGAAAGTTGGAATATGGTTTCAGGGTAGGATACCTTATAACTTACCATAAAGGGTTTAGGATAATCATCTTCCAACTTTCTGGCTTTTACTTTAGGGTTTAGGGATTCTAGAAATTCCGGCGAGACAGGCAACCGGAAGCCGGCGCTCATCATCGGAGGATGGGATCCGATAATAGTAATAATAGTAATAATAGTAACAATAATAAGATTACTGATAATATTAATAATAATAGTAATAATAATATTATTAATAATAATAATGACCCATTGGGGGAGGAGACCCTGCGGGTCCGCACAGCGAACGTGGTGCTGGGCCGCAGGGTGGACGGGACGCAGAGCATTCTGTGGCTCGCTATCAGCCAAAGCCCGGCCAACTCGCAGCAAAACCCAAGAGGATGGTCATGGAGCTTAAGGACGACATGATCCCTAAAAGGGTTTAAGGTTCATATACCATAGAGGGGTTCATAGTATATGGGTATAGGGCCCCTACTTTTAAGGGTCATTTCGTCCTTCAGGTTGGGGGCAACGCAGGCCAGCTCGATGTGGAGTACGCCACGGGGACAGCATCGTACGCAGTACCCTAAACCCTAAACCCTAAACCCCTAAACCCTAAACCCCTAAACCTTAAACCCCTAAACCTTAAACCCCTAAACCCTAAACCCTAAACCCTAAACCCTAAACCCCTAAACCCTAAACCCCTAAACCCTAAACCCCTAAACCTTAAACCCCTAAACCCTAAACCCTAAACCCTAAACCCTAAACCCCTAAACCCTAAAAAACCCTAAACCCCTAAACCCTAAACCCCTAAACCCTAAACCCAAACCTTAAACCCCTAAACCCTAAACCCTAAAACCCCTAAACCCTAAACCCCTAAACCCTAAACCCCTAAACCTTAAACCCCTAAACCCTAAACCCTAAACCCCTAAACCCTAAACCCCTAAACCCTAAACCCCTCAAGCCCAGGATAAATAGAAATTGTTTAACAAACGAAACGTACTGCTGGATGGTACTGCTAACTTTTGGTGGGTTTTTCTGAACAAGCACCGGGCGCAACAAATTGCACTGCCGGGTCTTGGTGGCTCTTTCTGAGCAAATCACCTGACAACCAGCCACAAAATCGGCTGTTTTTTGCTTTAGCAAATGGAAACCAGCGTGCCCAACTACCATCCTTGTGAGGCTTCGAGACTCCTTTCCAGCTCTTCCCCAAGAGTGAAAGGAATCTCGAAGGTCGAGACTTGGAGAGGCCTTTCCAGCTCTTCCCCAAGAGCGAAAGGAATCTCCAAGCCAGAAAGCAAAACAGAAACCCGCACAGATTTCGCTCAAAACCCGCTCAAAACTTCGGACCTGAACACTATACAATTTCTATCGAACCCCCCAAATGGCTTCGGGCTCAAGCATGCTAGAAGTATCGTTTTTCATGCGGGCCATGTTCTTCGCAGACTGCAGAGGCAATCTTCACGACGGCGATGGAGGCACAGCTGCAATCAAAGGCGAGCCGCTCAAAAAGACCCACCAAAGCAACCACCCAGCAAAAGTTAAAAGGCAAAACCCGCCCAAAACCCGCTCAAAACCCGCCCAAAACCCGCCCAAAACCCGCCCAAAACTCCGGACATGAACCCTAAACAATTTCTATAAACCCTAAACCCCTAAACCTTAAACCCCTAAACCCTAAACCCTAAACCCCTAAACCCTAAACCCCTAAACCCTAAACCCCTAAACCTTAAACCCCTAAACCCTAAACCCTAAACCCCTAAACCCTAAACCCCTAAACCCTAAACCCTGAACTCTTGAACTGGCGCCGAACCCTTCAATCCTACTTGGAGGTTCATGGGTCGGTCATAAGGGCTCCTTTATACGGGTGCCTTTAGAGGGATCTTTAGGGGTTCTATAAGGGGTATAGGGCAGTATAGGGTTTAGGGTCTACTTGGGGGTTCACGGGAAGTTTTGAGTCGGGTTACAACTTTCCCTATGACCCATAGCAGGCGACTTGTAACCCCACTTATAACTACCCATGAACCTCCAAGTAACCGGGAATCTCCCAAGAACCTGTAACCCTGCACACGTTATATAGCAACCCTTGCGAGAAGCTTTGTAAAGCCCTAGAACCCTAAACCCAAAGCCCTTAAATCTTAGACCGAACCTTAAACCCCCTCCAGCAGGGCGGCAAGGAGAGAACGACCACCGTCCATTTGGATGAGCAGGTGCCTGAAGCTTGGCAGTTGGGGTTTACTTGGAGGTTCATGGGTGATTAGTTGTAAGTGGGGTTATAAGCCGGGTAACTATACTTATATCCCATATTAGGGCACTTATAACCCACTTTTAACCACCCTAAACCCCAATCCCCAAACCCTAAATCCCCATAGAGGTACTTGAAACCCGACTTAGAACTACCATGAACCTCCAAGTAGAGCCAAGCCTAACTACCGAAGCGTTTGTAGACCCAAGCTTGAATCCTAACTTTTCACGCGAAGAGAGTCGGGGAACATAGAGATGCCCTACTTTTCCGGATTCTGAAGTCCGCAACTAAGCGTAAGCGCTTCTTGAGGTCTTCTGCGGAAGTTGCAAGGTTCCTGAGTAGTACGCTTTTGGCTTTTTTATTTTGGGGTCTGCATCCGAGCAGGGAGCAGAGCTGGAGCAAAACGCTGCCGAAACCGGCAGAGGCTGCCGCGCCCTGCAGACCAAGGCAGCCAAGTTGCAGATGGCAGACAAGCTGCTGAAGGCCTTGACGGAAAGGAACATCTTGGACACGTGGAAGACTTACACTTGGTTAGTAGGGAATGGAGGAATGGGGTACAAGTATAACTACTATTACTACCATTCTTCCATTCCCTATTAACAATTAACCAAAGGTAAGAAGACCAACAGCTACAAGGACCGCCTTTGGCAGCCCAGCACTTCGGCCGGTCCTTTCGACACCTCTTCGCTCGCCTTCGCCTCTTTCGGGCCCCCAGTGGTGTCTGGCGGATGCGAACCCGACTGCAGTGGTGCCGAGAGCTTGCACCCAAAGGGTCCAAAGTACCGATATAATGGAACGTAGGGTTTCCATATTAGGAATCACTATTATGATGTGGGGAACTATTCCCCATAACAGTACATAGGACCCTTTGGGGCAGGAGGGGCATCGTTGAGGTCGGGCTATCAGCTGCTCAAGTGGAAAACTTGCTTCGGGTGCAAGTCTGATGTGAGCCTGTCGTTCGCGCTGCAACTTATTGCAGAAAATTGCATTGAAGTCATATCATATGTAGTGCGGCAAAGACTTTGCGCCTTGCGATCGTGTGCACACACGTGCACAGGATAGTTAGCAAGAGTATCCCCCTTCAAAACATCACAATCCTAGCAGGGTATACCCCAAAACCTTGTTCCATCAATCAGGGCCCCTACATTGCCGGTTTTTGGGTTGCAGCCGCCGTCTCGTAAAATCGGAGGGTTTGTAGGGCCCGGGTAGGCACCCTTTGAACCCTAAGCCCTGAACCCCTACTCCCTGAATCGGAAACCTGATGCCCCGGACTTCTGACTTTCCACTTGGATTGTCGGGAGACTTACAGTAGACCCCGTAAAGTTGGAAACCGGATTAAGGCCAAATAGTGCTGTTCTAGAACTGTAGGCATTTTACGCCCAATAAGGACCCCGGGTACGACTCTGCAAGCAGACCCATACTACCCCTACGCCCTCGGAAACTTTGTAAAGAATAGGCAAGCCAGTATAAATCGAGCATGACACCGTTCATAAGGGCCTATAGGTAAGAGCCCGTTAAAGCTCCAAGTACTTGGATGCTTTGATACTGCTGATGATCTAAATCCTGCATTACCCATAATAAGGAATATACCATAAATTCCATAGTCTAGGGCCCTTAAGGTCATGCAGGATTTATATCATCAACCGTAGAAACAGGTTTTGCAGGGTTCAGGCAGTGCAGGGGCTTGAATAGATTTTTCACTGGCAGTGACTTGATGATAGTACGATAAGAGACCCTCGCACCAATATCCAATTCCCCGAGGGTCCTTGTATGCATTGATATAGTAACGTATATAATATACTTTGGCCTTGAAGTAGTCCCTATTGGGGGGCCAAAGTATATACTATTCGGGTACATGGACCGAATTAGTAACCCCGTGTACTCCACCCGTCGGAGCAGGAGAAGCTGGTGTACGTCAAAAAGTCGGGCTTTGATGGTAAGAAGCATGCAAGCTCAGTGGATTCCATGCGAAAGGCGCGGATCGAAGCAAGACTGGCAAGAGGTTGTATTGGGATTGAGGGTCTAGGCTTCAGTACTGCTCAAAATGACGAGCTAGCTTTGCAATGTCTGGTATCACGCAAGTACCCGTTTCAACAAGACAAAGTTGAAACCGGAAGCATTAAGCACCGAGCACCATCGCCTTTAAATCTCACAAGAGCTATAAGGATATACAGCCCTAAACCCAACACAACAAATAAAACCCTCAACCCTACAGAAAATTTAAGGAACCCCCAAACAAACATCTCAAGTACTTACCTGTATCCTCAAACCCTACAAAATAGTAGGTTATAACCCCTTAATAAGAGGGTCATAACCCCTAAAACAGTAGGTTTTTGGATCCCCAGGTAAGGACCCAGGAACAGGGACTTTTTTTCGTTGAAAGGCAAGGGATCCGGAAGGAGCCGCAGGCTTCGGACCTTGAAGTGCTAAACCCTAAACTCTACAGTAAACCAAAGGGCAAAGGGAGGGACCCTTAGGCTCTTAGGGTCCCTTTAAAGGGATCTATAAGGGTCCCTTGAAATGGATCTTTAGGGTTTAGGGTTTCGTTTAATCAAAAGGGAAAAGGAGGGAGCCTTAATGGGGGGACCCCTACCCTATAAATGGCTACATAATGGGGATATAATAGCCATATTAAAGGTATATACCTTGGGTCCACCTAAGAACACGGAACCCTTCAGGGAACCCATATATGGGTTCCCCGTAAGGACCACCCTATTCTAGAACCCTATAAAACAATAATAGTACCTAGGAATCCCAAAGGGTCCAAAGTACCGATATAGTAGAATGCAGGGTTTCTATATTAGGAATTACGATTATGATATGGGAAGTATTCCCCATAAACAGTACATAGGACCCTTTGGGAACAAGGGCTGACAACTCTAAACCCCACACTTTAAACACTCATCCAAAGGACCTTCAAACAGTAGGGACTCACAATCCTACTCTGCATTGCTCCGAAAGACAATCCGGAGAATGCTTCAATATCAGGGGAGGGTGTCGGATGGCTTAGGGTTCAGGACTTCGTAGTTATAGGTTCAGGATGGTTTAAGGTTCAGGGCAAGGGGAATCAGTTTACGGGTTTAGAATGGTTCCGGGTCTAGGCAAAGGGCAATCTGTGATTTTAGGAGTGTAGGATCGATCGTTAAGGCTGTGCAACTAGTAACTGCTCTTGTTTTGCGGGTCCTTTTGCTTGAATATTCACCCTAACGGAAACCCAAAGCCCCTAGCAGCAACATCTCAATGCTAGAACCCCCAAACCTAAACCCATCTTCCCCCAAAGCCCCAAGCAGCAAAATCTCCATGCTAATTCTAGAACCCTAAACCCTAAACCCTGAACCCTGAAATCATTCTCTGGCGCTGCCAGGGAGCGGCAAACCCACCTTCACTTGAGGACGGCTGGCATCAATTCAATCTCTCCCGAAATGGCTTTAACGGTTTTAATTAGGGTTTTTAGGGTTTAGGCTTCATAGGGGTTTAGGGTTTAGAGGGGGTTGGGGTTTAGGGTTTAGGGGCAAGGATACCTTCGGTTGCAAAATGCACTCACAAGCCGATCTTTGCGTATCGATGGTGCGACTTTGGTATGTTCTTCTCATTTAACGGCGGACTCGGAGTGTGCGCGTGTTCCACTCCTCAGGTTCACATTCACGAAGGCCCTTTCGTCCACGCGAAAGAACCCCAATGTGCAAATTACTTGTGCCACACGGTTCAAGTACTGTCATGTATATGTTTCATGTCGACATGCACATGTAACTTTACATATTGTATATATGATAATGCCAGCATGTGTTTGTACAATTGTTTGCGCTTTGTATATGTGTGTATATTATATACAAATATATGTTCATATATATCATACAAACATACATACATACATACATACATCCATGCATACATACATACATGCATGCATACATACATACATATATACATACATGCAGACATACGTACATACATACATACATACATACACATACACATACACATACACATACACATACACATACATATACACATAAGCATAAACATATACATACACATATACATATACATATACATATACATATTACATATACACATACATGTACATATACAATTGTAGGTATGTATGTAGACACATATGCAAAGCTTTATAAGTCAACTCTGCGTGCTTCTTGTTTCATTGGAGAGCGTATGCATTCCGCAAACTGTAGTCTAATTCTTTAGTCATCTACATTCGGCGACACAGTTCCCTTGGAAGTCTCAGAATCTTCAGCCCATGTTCCAGGAGTCACCGTCGCCGGTAACACCGGGGGTGCCAAAGCATCTCGTCTGACCTCATCAGTCGGTTCTTTCTTGGGGTAGGAAAAAAGTAAACCCACTTGGTGCTGGGATCCCCTTCGATGCACTATCAGAGATGCAATGCAAACAGTATTACTAGCTCATAACCAGTGGGGCATTGAAGATGGGAGCATCTCTGTAGGTAGAAGTGAAATGCATACATAGTCTTATAGAACTCAGCCATGTAGTCACGCGCGTATGCGGTGTACCAGCTGCCACTACTGCACACAGCAACGTCGACGACACCAGCAAGAGGAAAGAAGCCACTGCAAAAGCCGCAGCCAATCAAATCCTGAACCCTAAACCCAAACACGTTGAAACCTCAAAATATATGAGATGCTTGAGAAAGTACTTCTGGTCTCAGCTTGATGGGAGGGAACCCCCCCCCAAGCCCGAAATCCTAACGACCGCCGGAACACCAGAGGAAGCCCTCAACACGACTTCGACTTCTAGGAGGCATCTGCGAGTCATTTTCTCTGTTTGGGCTTGGGGTGTTTTACATACCCAAAGGCCCCAAAGTAGTTCCCTTTTTGGAGTTCATATATATATATATATAGAATCCTATAAGGCAATCCCAAAAAGGAACTACTATGGGGCCTTTGTGTCCGTGTTTTTCTAAATTCTGGTGCAGGGCCAGGGTGTGTGTTTGGGGTTGTTGTGGTCTTCATGTTCTTGGAGCTTTAGCTCGAGAGGGCGGGCGAGATCCACTTCATGCCAACCTCTCTTCTTCGGGAAGTCTGGCGCCCATGCCCTAAACCCAAAACCTTAATCCCTAGACCCCTAAACGCTAGACCCTAAACCCTAGAGCAAACATGCTACATGTCCTGAGCCGCTAGGCCTTAGGCTTCCTGCCTCAGACTCCGAACCGCTAGGACCTACAGCTAAAAGGTCATAGATGAAGGCAATGTGCCCGATCCTGCTTCGTAGGATTTGGGTTTCAAATACCCGAAACCCTATACCCTACCCTCAGCCTCATAACTCCATAGCCGAGAGCAGTCCGAGAGCCCTCTGATCCGAATCCCCTGTTTCTATTCTTCCCGCCTTCCCTAAGGCTCCATGTGTCTACCCAAAGGCCCCATAGTATAAGGGTTACTATAAGGGCTACTTTAAGGGATGTAACCCTAGGCATCTAAGGACTCATCTACTAAGGCTTTTGGGCCCAAAGACATTACTACATAAGGCCTTTGGGCTATGTTGATGCCCGGGTTGTATTCTTGTGGGCCTTGAAGTACCTGTATCAGAGCCCGTTTACGGCGTAGGTATGTAGGATGTGGGCACCTTGAGCTTCAGGGTTCCATAGGAAGCTCAAGTTCGTTGCCACAAACTTACGGTTTCGAGTTTACGTTCAGGTTTTAAGGGCGGGTTTAGTGCGGGGTCGGAGATACAACTGGCTACAGCGAGAATCGTTTCTTTCCGTTTCCATTCTTTGACTCTCCACTGGATGCTACATAGCTCTCCTGGAGCCCAGCCAAAGATCTTGGTTCTGGACTCCGATTGGGTAGAGACTGTTTCCAGAGTATGCTGTGAAAGCCTGCTGATGCCTACAGGGTGGGCTTTGTGCGAAAGCATCCTGATCAGACCAGAAGTGAACAACGCTGAAGAAATGAGGAGCTCAACTTACCCCGAGCTGAACTGCTTTGGAGCCTCTCCTCAAGGGGGAGCAAGTCAGAGATGGATGGAGCAGAACTGAGACTGACCACGGGTCCCGGGCATTGAGATATTAAATAGTTGTTAAGATACTCCCCAGAAGTAAACAAGCATGTTGTGTTTCCCAAAGTGTCCTATGTACTGTTATGGGGAATACTTCCCCAAATCATAATAGTAATTCCTAACATAGAAACCCTACATTCTACTATATCGGTACTTTGGACCCTTTGGGTTTTGGCAATCGGTTCAACAAGGAGCAGAAACATAAACAGATAGGCCAAAGCCTCGAGTTTGGGAGCCTTTATGTGCGGCATTTCAGGTCCCAAACACATCTAAACACACTAAACACCTTACAAGCCCTAGGTCCTGTAATCATTAACTAGGGGTGTATTCTACCGTAATTAGTCAGTTTCAATTAAGTGTCTACATCTATATACCCTAGAAACAAACCCCAAACCTCAAACCGCAAAAGCCCGACACAGCCCTACTATAGAGGCCTTAATAATTACCTATACTATTTTGGGGGCTCCTTATTATGCTTAGTATAGTTAGAGTATCACCCCCAAACCCTAGTCCAAATATTAAGGCCCCTACATTGGGCCCTAAACCCTAGGGGCACCAGGGCTTTCCCCCTGAAGGTTCCGTGGCCACGCGCACGGAGCGGCTTTCCAGCTTCTCTCAGGGAGCTGTGAGGCAGTCGCTAAGGGATCAGGGCCTGAGCCTGGAATGTAGGATTTACTTGCTTTGGGTTTAGGACTATTACTAGTACTATTTCTATTCCCCAGCAGTGCCCTTTTGATCATGTCTTTTCAGGGCTTCTCTATTAACCATGAATACCAGGAAAACGGTATCGTTACTATTCTGGGTGCACTGGGGAATCTAGAAGAACTGTTTGCAGACGGCAATACGCCTCAATCAAAGAAGACCCTTTAAACCAGAATTAAGGGGCGTAATATAAGGTATATTCCTTCAGGCTCCTTTAGGTTGCTTTCGAGATTCTCGTAAGGGTTCCCTTTTCGACAGGGTTCAGGGTTTGATTAGGGTTTCTATGAAGGCTTTGGGCTGCAGGGTTGAGCACTTTTGGGGTGTTCTATAGGTGTCGGGGTGTTTCGCCCTAAACCCTACACCCAGACCGATTTTGGGTTTCGCAAAGCTGCGTTTTATCTGCGAAGTAATGGGAAGAGGGTGGGGTGCCGACTGGTTGATGGTATTGTTTTGAGGGAGTTCTATGGGGGATAGAGGCTTTCGGAGTGTTTAGGTGTTTCGGGTCCTGAATAGTTTGCATCGCGTCTGGGGGCTATAGTATATGCTTTGGGGAACACTTAGTAACTTAGGATCCGATTGGCAATTTTTTGGCGCCTTGTATTTACCACGTATAATCTTATAGGCAACCTTTAATGGAAACCTATTCGCCTAATTACATGTTGATGTGGATGGGCAGCGTCACTGCCGCTGCTCCTGAGCTAAGAATTGGTGATACTGTTGATGATATAAATCCTGCATTACCTTAAGGACCCTAAACTATGGGAATTATGGTATATTCCTTATTATGGGTCATGCAGGATTTATATCATCAACCGTATCTTAAACAATCTTATGGTTCTTTTTCAACAGGGTTCTTCTTCAGACTCAGCCCCGACCTCGCTCATAATTCCGGACGGAATTTGGCTTAAACACCTGAAACATTCCAAAACGTACCTTTTCATGCCACAACATTCTAAAACCTTCCAAGAAATTCCAGAACATTGGGTCGAGGTCTGTCAGCAAAGAAAATGTGCCGCAAAGCATTGGGCAGCATTTCCCTTGCCAGCAGGCAAAGGTCGAGAGAATTGAAAACCGCACACACGCGATCCGGAAAGGATTTTTTTGATTTTTTTTGTATTTTTTGAATGTTTTGGAATGTGTCGGAATGTTTGGGCATTTTTCGGAATCTAAGCGAACATTTTCAAATGTTGGATTGGCTTGTCAAAAAAATCCCAACCGCATGCATCAGAGGTTGAAGCAAGGCATCGTTTTGGGCCTGTTTTGGCTGTTGCTGGACGCCGCTGAACATTCCAAAACATTCTGTATCATTCCAGCCATTTGAAAGCATTTTTTGAAATCTGCTTCTTGGCTGCAAAGGCCACTGAAGAAGTACCCCATTGAAGAAGCACCATATGATTGTCAATGGTGATAAGCGTTTAGAGCTCCCGCACAGTAACTGCGTGCTTCAAAGCCCAACTTTTGTTATCTTTAGGGCTGTTATAGGCTATCTCTCATTCTGAAAGTTTGAGCTTTTTGCCCGATGGGTATTGTATAGTAACTAATTGAGGTTAATCTCCTGAGGGTTCCTCTACGGATTCTGTCGGCGCACTGTGGGATTTTGGGTCTAGGGTTTGCTCCTCTGCGTCAGGGAGAAAATTGAGACTCGAGCTGACTCGCGGGCAACTAGAATAGACTCGTCTGCTGGCAGAATATGGTCCCTAAATCAAAAAAGCACCGAAACTTGGTCATAGTTGGATAACATTTTACATTTTTATGGGTATTTAGACACAAGAAGGAATATAAATGTCAATTTCTCATCCTGCCCCAGCAATGAACTAGAATAACCTTTCCAAAACCCTCTCCCAACCCCTGAATGTCGTGACTTGAACTTGAGCGTGTGAGTGTCAACTGCCAGGATCGCCCGAGATGCAGCGTCAAGCTTGCGACCCTGGATTTTGGAGTATTGTTTTGTTGTTTTGGAGTTAGAGCTTAGGTCACAGGATGTCACAGGGCTTCCATTTTTGAGGAGCAACTGATGCAGCTTAAAATCGGTTTCAGCTTCTATACCATGGTTTATCGAGCTTGCTTACTTGTTTGTGTTGATCTGTCTTTTTCTGTTGCCGTAGGAAGCACCAGAATCCTCAACCCTGAACCTACAAAGCACTCGAAAACGTCAAATCCTAATGCCCCGAGCCGTAAACGATTTGACGGCCGTAGTTCCCAGCAACCCAGGACCTCGGTTCTTCAGCAACAGAGAGGCTGGCTCCGTGTCTTGGCGGCTTTTTTTAAGGTAATACAGGGGCCTAACGAAATAACTACTCGTGCTTTGGGGCCTCCTGTTTGCAACTGCAGCACCACAGACCCCCCCTATTATCCTCCAAGACGCAGCCTCCCATATTCAAGTACAAATGATTCTTGATTCAGGTCTCATGCTATAACCGGCAACCCAAGAAAACCTATGAGTTCAAAGGACATTACTCAGGACAGTACATAGGCACTTGCGATTGTGTTCGTAGTGTTGTAGCTGAGTAGTTTGGAGAGCAAACAAGTGTAGAAGCTTGCACGTGTCGCAGGCTTTGGGTGTACTGGGTTGCTGCAACACATTTAGTTGCAGGCCTGGCGGGTGTACTTGGAGGTTGAGGGGTAGTTATATGTAGGTCATAAGTCCCCTAATATGGGCTATAAGTATAGTTACCCTACTTATTACCCCACTTATCTTAGAACTACCAAAAAAACCTCCAAGTAGGGGATCAGGGAAGGCCCAAATGCCAAAAACCGTGAACCCCCAAACAACAAACCCTAAGCCCAAAAGGCCCCCAAACCACAAATCCCTAAACTATCTTACTATTTCTGTATGTATATGTATATATATATATATATGTGTGTGTGTATGTATGTTACAGATAGTAATTAGGATGTCTATATATATATATATGTATATGAATATATATACATATATATATATGTATCTATTAGATAGTGTATATGCATTTCTCAACTTGTTTAGTAATGTTATTGTTGCTATTTTGAAAATAGACATTCAAGTCTTCGAAGACCCTGAAGACGAGGTGAAAGATGACGGCCCCGAGCTCGAGGTGGGGTACGGGATCATGAGCCACGGTTGGGGGCTTAGGGGGTATAGGGTTTAGGAAATTAGGGTTTAGGGCACGGTTTGGGGGGTTTAAGGGGTATAGGGTTTAGGAATTTACGGATTGGGGTTTAGTTTTTAGGGTTAGGGTTTAGGGTTGACAGTCTAGGGTTTGGGGGTTTAACGTTTAGGGTTGAGGATTTATGCTTTAGGGGCTTAGGGTTTGGAGTTTAAGGACTACCCATACCTTTGGGAGGATCCTAAAGTCGATGCTTGGTTTGAGTAGTCTACGATCCCAAATTCGGGATTCTATGCTCTGTGTCCTCCCAGCGTCTGCGTTATTATGCTGATAACATACGAGTTCCAATCTTCTAAAACGGAAAGCCCCTCTATGTCCCTGATGAATATATGACTACCTAGATGCTGACTGACAACCAGCTTGTTGAGATTATCGCGGCCGTTGTCGTCTGCCTGCTGTTACCTTACGAATTGGGAAAGCCTACGGGTATATGCATGCTGATGTGAAGCCGGCCAAGCGGGCTTTCGTGTGTCCTTCTACCGTTTCGGGACGTCGAACGGCAAGCCTTCCTGGTACGTCGTGATCCCGCTCGGAAGTGCTAATCTCCTGCACGTCCCGATGAGTAAACACCTGCACGGACACGGCAAAGGGCGGCCCGTTGACCGCGAGCACAGCTCTATGGACCCTGGCCGGGACAGGACCCTTGCACGTCTACTTCCGCCACTCCGAGTGGAGCCTGGACTCACGTGGGTCTTGGACCACGCGCCCTTAAAGGGCCTTTCGCTCGCCAGTCTCAGGAACCAAGTCTTCACAGACGGCTCCTTCGAGTCTGGCGTTGGCAGACCTCATGCGCACTGGCACGGAGCACATTCGTGCAGAACATGATGGGGCGCACGTTGCATGTCTTGGAGGTACTCACGGCTTCACGGCACCGACATAGGTTGACCTCAAACAAGCTACACACTGCCTGCGCGGAACGTGGTACTATTCACAGGCTTAGTGTCTGAACACTATTTCCGAACTCTGGACTTTGTCCTACCTTAAAGCGCGAGTCCCATTTTCCTCGCAGAGCAATAACCTCAAGCCGCAGACCCCAAACAAGCTTCCAAACGGCAACTGCTAAACTGGAACCCCTAAACCCCCAACCCCAATCCAAACTTCATAAAAACCCAAACGTGCACCCTGAGCACAAAACGCCTCACCCGAATGCTTGCCCTGAGGGTCCATGTGCCCATGTGGTATATGCGGTACCCTGATAGAACCCTTAGAGGAACCCCTTGATCAAGAGATCCTAGATGAGCACGTGCACCCTGACTGCTGGGTTCGTCCTTTGCCCCGTCGAAAATAACATGGCACAGGACGTAGAGATGGAGGAGGCCGTGGGTGCTTGAAACGTGTTTAGCTTAAGTTACCATGATTAGGTTCCTTGGAAGGGTTTGCTAAGGATTCACAGCAGTTTAAGGATCAAGGCGATTAAGTTCCCTAACAAGAACCCAGTCATCTGTGCAAGGCGTTCCCAGAAGACTTCGTTTAGGTTTCGGGATTAAGGTTTCAGCGTTTAAAGTTTCGGGGTTTGAGGGTTTCAGGTTCAGGGTCTAGCATTCAGGATTTCGGGCTTAGGGTACCTTATAACTAGATTCAATGTATATTGAAGGCAGGCTTTTGGAGTGTACAGTGTTTAGCGTTCAAAGTTTAGGGTTTATCTCTTGAGCACGGTTTGATGTCACGGGTTGAGGAACTGGGAGCCCAAAAAGGGAGGCCTAAACCCTGAATCCCTAAATTCTAAATCCTAAACCCCAAACCCTACACCGCGAAATCCTAAACCCAATACCCGAAACCCTAAAGCCTAAACCCCGAGCCCTAAACCCTAAACCCCACAGGGGCCGGAAATACCATACTACAATCCTGAAGAGCGGTTTGTACACTTCAGGGTTTAGAGTTTAGGGCTTTAGAGTTTCGGGATAAGGTTCACAGGTTAAGAGTTCAGAGTTCAGGGGGTTTAGGGTTTAGGGGTTTAGGTTTCAGGGTATCTAATTTCCAGAATCCTGTGCTTCCAGTGACCTTACTTTTGAGTTCCAACGGCAAAAGGAGGGGCCCTTAATGGGGACCCCTACCCTATAATGGACCATCTAGGGGTCCTTATTAAGGGTTCCTCCTTTTACCCTTTGATGAGTCCTGAAAGGAGTCTAGGGCCCTAACTCGAAGGTCCTCGGAAGAGTAGGGTACGGCAATACGGGAGTTTCGAAAATTTGGGCGGTTACCGTATTTTGGGGTCCTTATAAGAAGGATCCGACTATTTCGGGTACTATATTAGAGTCCCCTATTTTCGGAAACTTCCCTTTTGAAAGGGTTTCGGAAGGTTTCTATGAAGGTTGAATAGAGTAGGAAGGCCCATGAAATTGCCGGCACTATTCCAGATTAGACGACACAGTCTCGTTCCGAAGGGAGCACTGGGATCTCGGATTCCGCGACAACATGGCTGAGTATCCCAAAGGCTCCATGTACACATATAGTATATACTTAGGCCTTAAAGTGCCTATACAGGGACCCCTTTGAGGCCTAAGTACCTACTATATGGGTACATGGAGCCTTTGAGCATGAGAGGCTACCGGGCGCCCAAGGTGTCCAAGCTTGCCGAAAGCTGGAGCTCCCCAAGCCAAGCGGCATGACAATCCCTCAGGGTCCATGTATTCATATAGTATATACATTGGCCTTAATGCAGTCCCTATATAGGCACCTTGGGGCTCATGTATCTCTATATGGGTATGGGAATGCCGTGGCAACTTGCTTGCGGGCAGATCTACGGCGTACTCCAGCGTCACTCAGGGACTCGGACATAAGTCGGACCCGCGAGACCATCCTGAATGCTTTGTAGAGTCCTAGAACAACAGCATCTAGCATTAGCTAAACTCTAACTCCCCCCCTTTAGTGAAGGATGCCTTCCTCGGTTTGTGAATTGTATGTACTGTGTGCTTGCGCGTGTGGTTTGGGGCCTAGGGGTTTAGGGTTTAGGCATCTTGTCTTTTTTTCTTGCTTGCCAGGCGCTGATGCCCGTGGAAGCCATTGACAGCTCCGCTTTGCCCTACCAGGCGAAGCTACCAGTCCCCAAGAGTCCAAACTACCGATATATATTAGAATGTAGGGTTTCTATATTAGGAATTACGATTATGATTTGGGGAAGTATTCCCCATGACAGTGCATAGGAGCCTTTGGGGTTTCCAGGATTTTCAAGGGAGTTCCACTTTCCTTACAGGTCCATGTGCTCATATAGTAGATGCTTTGGTCTGACAGTAGTCCCTTCATAGGTGCTTAGGGGCCCATGCATCTGCGATTCGGGTACTTTCAGGGTTTGATAAGGAAGGCCCCTACATGAAATCCTTATATTGGCCCTTACAGTAGCTCATAATTACACTCCCCTTTCAAGGAATCTTATTGTAATTCTAAGGCTCCTACAATAGGGTTTGCGGTTAGGCATTTAGAAGGTTTCTAACGGGCTTTCGTGCGGGTTCAAGGCTGGCAGGTTTCATTTTGTCCTCGGTGCCGATATCCTCCTTAGTCTCACTTTAGGAGATAGTTACATAAACTCGGTAGATTTTTCACACATGTGCAGGTACATGTCCAACAAATTCATTTGTGCAACAAGAGCAAAAGTGCGCTCATGCACGTGCGTGTAGACGCACGCACCTAGATAGGTAAGAAGGTACCAGAGTTTGTATCATGCATCTTGTTCGCAAGGCGACTGCCGAAACCGCCGCGCTCTTAGACGGGGAGGTTTCGGCGCACGAGACTGTAACTTAGCCCCGACGACCGGGTCGGGTGAAGACTTCCTGGCGGGGCTAGGGGCCTTTTCGGAACGGCCGAGACCTAACTACGCCTACATGGTGGGACGGCAGTTTTTAAGTGGGGTGAAAGGGGAAATGTCCGGCCCGAAGTGGCTTTTGAAGAAGTGATACAGGAGGCTGTCGAGGTGTTTCCAGACATTTCCCCGAGTTCCGCTTGCATAGGGATTTGCCAAACAAGGCCCGAACACAGTAACCGACTGGGTTTGCAACTGGGCTGCTAGGACTCGAAGTCGCCCTGTCCTGGTTCGATTTTAATGTGTTAGGTACGGCCCCCTTACAGTAAGAGTCTATAATAGGGCTACTAATTATTAAGGTCCTACGATATCTATATTATGAATACTATTCAACTATTACTGAGTGGGGGCCGTACCCAACTGATGTGATGGTTGCCAGAAGAATTGGGATCCACTTCCGCCGCTTATTGCCTGATGGCCGAAGCTCTCCCTATATCGTGCAGCGATACGACTACTCGATGCATTTACCACCCCTATTCTTGGAATACTTCAGAAAATCCAAATCACCAAACCTGAAACCCGGACCTTTCCAAGTCACAAAGCCCTCCTTGAGACTGAACCGAAGGGCCAGTCTCGGGTTTGGGATGAACGGCCTCTGTTTTGAGGCTTTTGGGTTTAGTGATGGTATATTGCTGTGGGGTTTGAGGTGAAGGGTATCCATGCTGAATACTGGTTGAAACGCCAGGATGCCAAGCTGTGAGCTCCTTCCTACCTTCACGCGATCCCTAACCATCCAACACCCAAACCCTAAACCCCGAAAACCGTCTTCCTTAAACCGCCTAAGCCTTCAACCCTACACCACCGTACTTAACCCTAAACCCAAACCAAGGAGTCAAAGCCCTCCAACCCAGTACCCTTCAACGAGCCCCACGCTCCCTCTAAGGGCGAGCCTGCTTGGCAAGAGGAGCATCTGCGGGTTTCAGTGGCATACCTACTACAGCGGCATCGATAATCGAGCAGATATTCATTTAAAACACTTCGTCATGATGAGGAGCCCCATGCAATAGTATTTGGAATTATTTACGTTTCTACATTAAGTCAAAAGGTGTTATTTAAACCTCGGCACACAGCAAGTAGCTCCGATTTCCGGCAGGAGGCTTGAGAGGTGGCCTTTTTGAAATTTGGCAAGCAGGTTTTGTTCGATGGCGTTGAGTCATTGAGGAGAGGCAAGCTCGAAGGGACAGCGGACACCCGAAGAAAGGGGATGTGTGCTTAAATCCCAAACCTAATTCCCTAAACCCCTAAACACGGAAGCCTAAACCCTAAAACCCTTAAAAAACACCTAAAACCCCAAAGCCCGGAGGCCTAAACCCAAAGAGCGTTTCTGCCAGGAGCAGCGGAAACTCCAAGAAGCTTTGGTGCTCCTAAGGACCTCGCCTTAGGGGGGTTTAGGGGTTCAGGGGTTTAGGGGTTCAGGGGTTTAGGGGTTTAGGGTGTTTAGGGTTTATAGTAGAAGCCAGAAAGTTGGAACATGGCTTTAGAAGGATTCGTGCTAGGATCCCTTTTGATTTACCTTAAGGGCATGAGGAGAATGATGTTCCAACTTTCTGGCTTCTACTATAGGGTGTTTAGGGTTTATAGGGTTTAGGGTTTAGGGTCTGGGGTTCAGGGTTTAGGGTTCAGGGTTCCTTTAAGGGTTCTTTGCAAGCGTCGTAAGGGTTTATCAGGGTTATACGGTTTAGGGGTTTAGGGCTTCCTTTACTTACAGGGGTTCTTTAAAGGGTTTACAAGGTCGTAAGGGTTTATAAGGGTTATACGGCTTATAAGGACCATAAAGTTTTAGGGTTTAGGGGTTCCGGGAAACCGGCTTTACGGGATCTATAACAGGGTTCAGGGGAATAGGGGTTGGGGGGTTAGGGCTTAGGGTTTAGGGGTTTATTTTTCAGGGTTTAGGCTGTACCATTTTTTGAGGTGGAGACTTTGTGGCAAAACAGATTTTGAAAAGGTTGCAAGCACAGGTTCTTCAGAGATTCGGGAGTTTGGGTTTTAGGGGCCCTGGGTCAGAATTGGAATGGCGTTTATCATGTTTGGGCAAATGAAGGAACCCTAAGCAATACCATTACTTTAAGCTGCTTAGAATTCTGGCGGCCTCTGTAGTAGTTGGGACATATGACCGGTGGCGGTGGAGCCTTAAAGTGAAGTGAAAAATCGACTGAGCATCCAGGATTTCCCAAGGGTCTCTAGGCTGCAGTGGAGGGTACCCCCTGAAAACCCTTACAGTCCTTATGAGCCCTTATGAACCCTTGTAAACCCTTAAACCTTGTCGTGGAGTAAGAAACCTTTAACATTTTTTGGGTAGTATAGTCCCTATATAATCCGTATAGAACCAAAAAGGTATTACTTTTATCCCTATAGAGCCAAAAAGGTTAACCTTGAGTTCCCCATGATACCCGACAAGTAGGTTCAAGGAGCAAGCCCAAAGGGTCCTATGTACCGATAAAGTAGAATGTAAGGTTCCCATATTAGTAATTACTATTATGACTTAGGGAAGTATCCCCCTATAACAGTACATCATAAGGGCCCTTTGGGAAAGGAGCCCTAAACCCCAAACCCTAAACCCTCAACCCCAAACCTTAAACCCTAAACCCCAAACCCCCAACCCTCAACCCCAAAACCCCAAACCCTAAACCCTCAAGACTAAAACCCTAAGACCCTAAACCCCTTAATGGAGCCCTTAAAGGAAGGCTAGGATTTACCGAAGTCAGCTGCCGCCGCGCTCCGAAAGGTCGGGCGCCGAGCTTGAGCCCTCTGCGCAGCAGGTGGTCCAGACAAAGGCGAGACGCCTTTAGTAAAATTGTTGGGGGTGGTTCCTGAGTACGATTTAGGGATCCTTAATCAAATTTAGGGTTCCTTGGCGTGATTTAGGTATCCCTTAATATCATTTAGGTTTCGGGGGGTGGTTCCTGAGTACGATTTAGGGATCCTTAATACAAATTTAGGGGATTCCCTAGTGTGATTTAGGCATCTTTAATATGATTTTGGGTTCTTGAGTATGATTGATTTAGGGCTTAGGTCCCTTATTCTTATTTCCCACAGAAAGGTAGGTTCTTTAGGGCCTCGCTAGGGTTGACGAGCTTGGGCTCATCATTCGCTTCTTTTGTTCTCGGGCTTAAGGGGTTTGAGATTCCGGCATGGAGGATTCGAAGGGTCTATAGGGCTCAGGGTTTAGTTTAGGGCACTGGGTGAAGAGTTTAGGCTCTGAAACTCGGTTAAACCGAGGGAATCCCCAAAGCGCGTGTTTCTTGAAGGGCTTTACAGTGAGATGTGGGAGTTTCCGAAAACAGGGGACCCTGATATAGTTCGCTTAATCGTAGGATCCTGATTATAAGGGCCCCAAAATAAGGTACCCCAAACTGTCGGAAACTCCCATGTGCCATGGTAAGTAGATGATGTCAGGCTTTGGTTTTGTGGAGCGGCCACAGGGGGCGTTTGGGTAAGGGCTTACCGGGCGCCTTTTTGTGGGCACAGATCCTTAAGGACGACATGAACTCTAAAAGGGTTTAAGGTTCATATACCAGATAGGGATTCGTTTTTTGTATAGGGCCCCTACTTTTAAGGCTCATTTGGTCCCTCAGGATTCAACTATGGTGATGATGGGAGTGTTTGCATAGCCTTGAGCTTGGGTGTTACCTAAAATGAGGCCGCTTTGGTGACCGCCGGCGCAATCTTCACCCGCCCCTCCCTAGCCAAGTCCGTTCCTGCCAGGAAATGCAAGGCGAGCTCGCGAATCTTAGGCAGCATTGAATCGTGGACGGAAGGGCGGGTTTGAGGTTTTGGTTCGGGAGTTAGGTTTTAGGGTTTTTTAGAGTTTAGGGGTTTGGGGTTCAGGGTTTAGGGTTCAGGATTTAGGGTGTAGGGGTTTAGGGGTTCAGGGTTTAGGATTTAAGGTTCCTGGTTTAGAGAGGGTTTGCAACAGTTGGGGGTGGGCTTACTTTCGGAGAGTTCCTGCTTACCAGGGCTGAGAAAGGGTTTATATCGGCCCACACCGTTCAAGTGGTAAAAGGGTGGTGCCTTCTAAAGGGGCCCGTTTAGTGAGGCTACGACTATGCAGGATGGACGGTAAGTATGCCCTAAACCCTAAACCCTACGCCCTATGCCCGAAACCCTAAACCCCTCCCTAAATCCTTGCACCCTAAACCCTAAACCCTAAGCCCCCTGAGCTTTCTGAAAATTCCAGAACAAGTTCTGGAATATTGCACATGTTCTGACGAGTAAAGGACCGGCACTCCCCATGAAGGGCTCCTTTTAAAGGGTCCCATAAGGGTCACTATAAGGGTACTATAATATAGATTGCTATAGCTGTTCCTAGGGTTCCTTTAAAGGGGTCTATAACGATTACTATAAGGGTGCTATACTGTTTTTTTGGGTGGTTTATTGGAGCGCACAAGCAAAATTCAGTGGTTTCAGTTTAAGTTTAGTGGTGAGGGTAGCTTTAGAATTCTGGGCCTCTGTCGTTTATTGAGGGTTTTTGGTTTTGTTCGTGCAATCGCAACACAGTTGCAGAGCAGACACCAGTCGACGGCTTGAAACGATAAAGGGAACTCCAGAAAGTTGGAAGATGGTTTCAGGGTAGGATACCCTATAATTTACCATAAAGGGTTTAGGATAATCATATTCCAACTTTCTGGCTTTTACTTTAGAACCCGCGATATCCAGGCATGGAGCCTTAAAGTGGTGAACGTGCACGAATGTCAGGTTCCAACGCTATAGACGTCAGCCGCGAGACGTAGGACATCGACTAAACAAGGGGTTTCACGCACAATTCGGTTGCGTTTGCGGGGAGTACCTACCCGCTTTCTGCACACGTTATGAAAGGATGAGACCCGGAAGTAGTGACAAGTGCCGGAATCAACCTGGGGCATGTGTACCAGATGAAGCTTGAAGATTGAACTGCAGAATACAACCCCGACGCCTCAAACAGAAGCCCTGCCCCTCAAAAGAAAGCAAGACTCCAAGGAGCCGCAACCTCTGTGACAAGCAAGCCCTGGCTTTCTGCCTGATCTTCAAGCTAGGTGCCTGCCTCTAGAAGGTGTTAACTGGGGTTTGGGAGCTTTCATAACTTAACGAGTGTGTGCGATCTTTCATTTGGGCTCGTGTGTGTTTTTTTGCTGTTTTCTATCTTTCTCTCTCTCTCTCTCTCTCTTTTTCTCTGTCTCTCTCTCTCTCTGTCTTTCTCTCTCTGTGTGCCTCAGTGGTCTTAAGCTAAGCGCGGGGCTTCACGGACGGCTGTTGGGCTTCAGGGGGCTTCGGACCTGAAGTTTCTGCGTCGCAGTAAAGGTTTAGAGCTTTAGTAGGGTTTAGGTACTATAAGGGTTCCTTTACAGGGTTCTGTATATGCGTACCATAAGGGTATGGGGTTTACTTGGAGGTTCACGGGTAGTTACAAGGTAAGTAGGGTGAAAAGTAGGGTAACTATACTTATAACCCATATTGGGGGACCTATAATATCCCCACTTATAACTACCCATGAACCTCCAGGTAGGGTTTTAGGGTTTGAGGTGTTAGGGTTTTAGGGCTTTAGGGTTCAGGGTGTCAGAGTCTAGGGTTTCAGGGTCTGGGGTGTTAGAGTTTAGGGTTCTAGAATTTAGACTCTTAGGCAGTAGTATGTTGTATATATGGTGCAACTAGGATCAATTAGGGTTTTACGGGTTCGGTAAAGCTGGCTTACGGGGGTGCGGGGGTGTCAGACGTGTCAGTGTCCGGAAATTAATGATGAAATGCGTGCAAATATCCTTACTATCTTGTTGCTAGTCGCAGGTGTACTTTGATAGATGCCAAAAAAGTAGTTTGATTCTCAAGGCCAATATAATATGTTGTCGGGTTTGAATGGGGAGGCCTTCGCTGGGTCGAATGTGGGCTCCCTGCGCAGGCTCTTTAGACAATGCCTTCGCATACTTGAACTGCCACCCGTCTGCAAGTCTCTAGGGTTTAGGGGCCCTAAACCCAAACCTACGTCCGGAGGTGCTGGACGTCGGAACTGGGGATTCTAGGTTTCGTCTTCGGGTGTACAAAGCGGTATACAGACTTTAAAGTTTGGGGTAGACCCTGAACCCTAAGCGCTAATCTTGCAGGGGGGGGGTGCTCTACCACCGTTTTGTTCGCAGATCCTACTAGTATGCACAGTCGGGACCTTGACTATCGGGCTTCAAGCAGGCTAGAAGATGATGCGTCGATCAGTATATAAAATAGTATAACATAATCTGTAGTTTTATGAATCATACCCTAGAATATAGCTAATCATAAAACAATTGCAGTATCCCATTATACCCCAGAACCTTTGGGTTAAGGGGTTCAGGATTGACGGTTTCGGGTGTGTGTCTTCGTGTGTGGGTAGCTTGGTGGTGCAAGGCAGGAATCACTGTCCTCCAGCTACTTAGGCATGGGGAGGAATCGCAGTCCCCAGTCGCGAACACTCATAAACGTCTAAACTTCACGGACAGAGCCGGCCTAAACCCTGAAAACCCTGACGTAACTCTGAGCTCCTTAACCCGCTAGTCTCCACAAAACCTGCTAGACACCAGTTCATTCTAACCCAGAGGGTCCAAGTACCCAAATGGTAGTCTTAGGTCCCTAAATCCATACTCTGAATGGTTTTGGACCTTGAAACCCTACTATTTGGTGCTTGGACCCTTTGGGTAAGTTAGTTTTAAGCCGATCGAATCGTAGAGGCTGCCTGCAGTCCTAAACCCCCAGGCCCAGCGAACCCTACTTGGAGGTTCATGTGTAGGTATAAGTAGGGTTCCTTCAAGGGCTCTATAGGATTTAGGGCTTACGGTAGAGGATTATAGGGTTTAGGGTTTAAGGGTAGTAATAAGTAGGGTTATAAGTAGGGTCATTATGCTTATAGCCCATACTAGGGGACTTATAAATCCAATTACAAGAACCCATGAACCTCCAAGTATAAACTCTAAACGGCAGCCCTAACCCCTGAACCCCAAACCTTAGCCCTAAGCCTGCGGCCTTGAACATTAAACCCTAAGCCCGAAACTCGAAGACAAACAAAAACTCGAAGACAGAGGCTACCATATTTTGGGGTTCTTATAAGAAGGATCCTACTGTTTGGGTACTATATTAGGGTCCCCTATTTTCGGAAATTCCCATATGCCCCAAACTCGAAGACAGAGGCTTCGGATCCGGCAACTTTGCCAAAGTGACCTGGGAAACGGCTCTGCTGGTACTTCACATTGAGGCTGGCCCCTTCCCTAAACCGTAAGCCCCCCAAAACCCAAGAAGCGCTAAGCCCTTAACCCGTCTGAGTTGTTGGATCATTTTTTTGTGCATGTGCGTTTGTCCGCGAACCCCTAAACCTTAATCCTACACCCTACGAGGTTCTCTCCACTTAAAGAGGATCAGCTTTCAGACCCTTGAGAAGGAGATTCTGGCTCAAGCATTTGGAGTTGGGGTTTAGGGTTTGGGGTGGCTCATATCATTTACTATAGATCCCTGTTATGGTAACTTAAATTAAGAGTACACAACGTCATGGGGGGAGGCGTTTTCCAGGTTGTTTGGTGAATGGGTCCCCTGAACCCTAGCCCTTTATATATCATCAACCGTAGTCCCTTATAGGAATCCTTGTAGACCCCTTTTAAAGGAAGGCACCGCTTCTTCATTGTCGTCTTGATTCGTACGCACCTAGCAGGCTCAAGGCTCTGTGCTCGTGGCTCCGAAGTGAGATTTATCGAATCCGAAAAGCCCTAAAACTCCAACCCCATGGCCCTTAGCTCAAAACCGTATGCCATAGACCGAACCAACAAACCCCGAACCCCAACTTTTGAACCCCGAGCCAGCATCTGGTTGGCTGCCGCGTCAGGACCGTTGGAGATACTGCTTCGTAAGATTGTGGCTGGTGAGTCAGAAGATCAGCTGTGTCGGGTCTTCAAGGCGTCCTGTAAACTGGACGCATGCCCGGTCTCCAAAATTCATAAGCATGGTGAAGATGCGTCAACCATTCTGACGTCAAATGGTTGGCATTTCCATATCCTTAGAATGCATCTTGCTGGACTGCCTTTGCTGGAATGTTGCATGCCGTTATGTTGCCATCAAGAATTTGACTAAACCCTCAACCCCAACCCTTAACCCGATGTCAGAAACCCTAAACCCTGAACCCTAACCCTATGCCATAAATCCACCGATTCCTGAGAGTGTTTGGAGTCTTTTGTCTTTTCAGGATTTAGGGTTTAGAAGACATCCGTTGCAACTGAAGTTGCTTCAGACTTCAGGGCGTCGTTTGTTTTTTCAGGGTCGACGGTTCGGACAAATCCGGAATCCAAGTCTCTACAAGCCTTAGCCTTCAACCCCAAGCTCCTTATAGAACCTGAACCGAAACGCCTATAGATCCCTTAGCCTTAAACCCTGAAGCCCTGAAGCCCTAAACATTGAAACCCTGCATGCAGGTGTTCAATCTCACCGGCTTGAGTCGACACCAGATCTTCCGCGACATGAGCGAAGGCTCATATCGGTTCCTTTAAGGGGTTCCTTTGAGCGTTCTATGAGGGTATCATACCTTAAGGACCAAATGTCCCTTAAAAGTAGGGGCCCTATACCCTGATACTATGAACCCCTATATGGGATATGAACCCTAAAATCCCTTTTAGGGCTCATTTCGTCTTTAAGGTACGTATATACTATATGGGAGTTTCCGAAAACAGGGGACCCTAATATAGTAGCCTGTCTAGTAGGATCCTGATTAAAAGGACCCCAAAATAAGGTACCCCTAGTTTTCGGAACCTCCTATATCTGGGCACACGGACTCTTAGCGCCAGCTTCGCACGATCTGACATGAAGAGGGCTTCGGGCTGAGGGAGATCGGGGCCTGGTGAACTTTCAGGGTTTTATGGGGGGGTTCCTTTAAGGGATCTGCAAGAGTTTTGTTTAGGGGTTTTAAAGAATTGGGGGAAAGAAGATCCCCCACAACGCAAAAAACCCAGGATTTGGTAAGGACTTTGTGCCGAACATGTGAAGGCTTGGTGTTTTTTTTTGGGGTGTTGCGCTTTCTTGTCTTAGCACACTCACGCCTCCTTGGAACCCGGAAGACTTTTCTTTGGAGGAGTCGAAAGACGGAGTCCTTAACTGCAGGTTTGCTTGGATAATTGCATATTAGGGCCTTAGGGCCTTATGGTTCAGGGTTTAAGGTTTAGGGCCTTAGGGTTTAGGGTTTAGGGTTTAGGGCCTTATGGTTTAGGGTTTAGGGCCTTATGGTTTAGGGGTTAGGGCCTTATGGTTTAGGGGTTAGGGTGCTTTCCAGATGAGGCCGGGCATAACTTATGGCCCTGTGTATCCCGAAGACCGAAATCCTAATCTCCAAACCCTCAACCCTAAGACCTGTGCCTCAAGCCCCAAACCCAAAGCCCCAAGCATCGTAAAGCTTCTGACGCACGGACAAGCCGTGAAAGGAACCCCTAAAAGGAACCTTTAGGGTACGTGGACCCTCATAGCCAAGAGGGTCCATACATACTACCGCAGGGCGAAAGTTCGCCACACTGCCGTGAACTCAACATATGTAGTAGTGCCACCCCTTTTCCCCCCTAGACTCCTCCACAAGATCCCCAAAGCTCTCCGCCGAGAACATTATAGTAATAAATTTTCTTCCGGGGGAGTTAACTACTCCGCCACGCTGGCCACGTAAAACGGACTTCTGGCCTCTCCGCTTCTCCGCGGCAACCCTGCACCCCTGAACCCTATCCCATTGCATCAAAATAGCCCAAAAGCCTTAATACATGAGTCCTTAGATGCCCTAAACCCTAAACCCTAAACCCGAAACCCTAAACCCGAAACCCTAAACCCTAAACCGTTTCGCATCGGCCAGGCAGCGACCAGGTAACGAAGGAGCTCTGGGATCAGTACTTCACCGGTGTCGACGTCGAGGTCAGGGCACAGGTAGGTTCGTGGGTAGTTATAAGGGTTCCTTTAAGGGCCCTTTAAAAGGGGATCTATAGTCATGCTATTTGGGGTTCCTTTAAGGGTCCCTTTATAGGGATCTATAGTCATTTTATGACTATGGGGGTATAGGGGCCTACTTAGAGGTTCAATGGTAGTTATAAGGGTTCCTTTAAGGGTCCCTTAAAAGGGGATCTATAGTCATTCTCTTAAGGGTTCCTCTAAGGGTCCCCTTAAAGGGATCTATAGTCATTCTATGGGGGTATAGGGGCCTACTTAGAGGTTCTTGGAGTGAAGAGAGCGTCTGAGGACGGTCGGGCTGTTCGGAGGGCTCGAATCCAATAGTGATTAGGGTTCAAAGAATGGGTTTAGGGAGAGGCTTTAGTGGCTCGGTGGTTTAAGGTTTGGGGTTTAGTGGTTTAGAGCTGAGGGTGGGCTAGGGTTCAGGATGTGTCCACCTAAGTGCACAGGAGCTAACAGGTTACTATAAGGTTATAGGGTTCCTTTACAGGGGTCTATAAGGGTTACTACAAGGGGTTCTATAAGGGTACTACAATGTAGAGGCCCAAATAATTACCAATACTATCTTGGGGGTTCCTTATTATAAGTATAATGTAATATACCCCGGAACCCTATTCTAATTAGTAAGGCCCCTATATAATACCTTAACTCCTACCTCTAAACCCAAATCACCTACCTGTACTTTGTACGGACCAAAACACAGAAAACATAGGAAGGAACCCTGAAAAGGTAGGTTCTTTAGGGTCCAATTAGCAGTGACATTGAATCCGCCATGCCAGCCTCATTCTGAAACGGGGCTCCTGATCATAATTTTGGAGTAGTATACCCCAAAACCCTGTTCTCATTATGAAGGCCCCTATACTAACCCTTATAGTAAACCTTATAGTGACCCCTATTGACCCCTTGAAAGGAACCCTATTCCAATTATGAAGGCCCCTGCTTGGAGGTTCATAGGTAGTTATAAGTGGGGTTAGAAGTCCCCTATAATGGGTTATAAGCATAGTTACCCTAATAATCCTATACCCTACGCCCTACACCCTATAGAGCCCTTGAAGGAACCTTGCTTATAACTACCTATGAACGCTCCAAGCAGTAAACTGAAGTTCTTCATGACGGCCAGAAACCAAGACGTCCCAAGATCCCATAAGACCCCTCGCAGCATAGATTGCGGCTATACCGCCCCCCAGCCAGACGGGCACAAAAAAAAGGAACACCGGCAACACAGGGTCCAGGGCTTAAGGTTTAAGGCTACTATTAATTTACAATTTCGTATTCAGGGTTGAGGGTGTACTAGTCAGGTGTAGAATTTAGCGCTTAGGGTTTAGTATTTAGTCCCAGGTAGAACGGGGCTTGGACATGGATGCTAAGCCGAAGGATTTGCTTTCAGCCTTACATAGGACTAGGAGTAGAAGATGCAAGCAATGGCGTCGCCACTGTGCAGGAAGCCTAACCATAAGCCCCCAACTCTGAAAAGTAACTGAAGCCCCGACTACGAAGCAGAAATTAAGAGCCCCTTCCCACACAGGTGATGATATAAATCCTGCATCACCTTAAGGACCCTAAAGGATCGGAACTATGGTCTATTCCTTATGGGTGATGCAGGATTTAAATCATCAGCCGTAGGTCATAGGGACCCTTACCCCGAGGGAGCGGGGTACTGGACTATACTTCCTTAAATAAGCCTTATTAAATCCTTGTTATGGGCCCTCCCCCCACCCCCCTAAGGGTCCTGAAACCCTTAACCCTAAACCCGTAGGTCTGCGTTTGATGGATCCTGGATTGAGGGTTTAAAAGGACTTGAATCTCAAGAAGGTCTACTATACTTGGACGTTCATGAGTAGTCATAAGGGTTCCTTTAAGGGTCTCTTTAAAGGTATCTATAGTCATTCTATAAGGGTATAAGGGCCTGCGTAGAGAGGGTTTCGGGTTGCGGAGCGCAGGGGAGGAAGTGTCTTGAGCACGAGAGTGCACACCGGTCATGCGATACCTTTTTCAATGCCTTGCGCACATTTCAGCCGCTTTTGGAAGGATCTCTAGAGCCAATTGCGGGCCTCCCTGTGTTCCTTCAGTCGGCAGGCCTTCCATGCGGAAGCGCACCTGGCCAGCTCGGAGTGGAGGAGGCCGGAGAGAAGCGGACGACAGCAGTACTACTACTTCCAGATGATGGTCCACCTCGCGCCAAAAAATGAAAGACCCTGATCACCGAAACGATAACCCTAAACCCTAAACCCTAAACCCCTAAACCCTAAACCCTAAACCCTAAACCCTGAACCCTGAACCCTGAGCACCGAAACGATGGGGCAACCGTCATCTTCCACGACTCACGCCAAGTTCGTCACCAGGAGAAAAGCCTCGGAGCCCTTGGGTTCAAACCCCAAGGGTCGACAAAGGACCCTCAATAACTGGGCTTTATGGTTCCTTTAAGGGATCTATGGGGGTGTCCTTTAAGGGATCTATAGGGGTTCCTTTAAGGGATCTAAGGGGAACTCCAGAAAGTTGGAATATGGAATAATGGCAGGATCCCCTATATAATTTACCTTAAAGGGGTTATGATAATGATATTCCAACTTTCCGGCTTCTACTGTAGGTGATGGGCTTTAAGATAGTAGTTATGTAGCTCAATTTAATCTTTTGGAGGGTATATGAGTTATTAGGTACTTGGACCCTTAGGGTAATATTCTGGGAGAGTATATGACCATCCTAAAGTCCTAAACCCTAAAGCCCAATTTTTGTGTACTTGGACCCTTGGTTTCAAAGGGCTTAGGGTTTCGGTTTCCTGGCAGGGTACTCGTTGCGGGGTCCCGACGGGCACTCGCTAATTTTGGGGTTTACGGCTAGGGTTGAGGGTTTAGGGACCTTCGGGTAGGGTTTGTTAGTGTTTCCGGGTTGTACAGTTCGTCCTTTAAACCCTGTTTCTAGGTGGCACTTTCCCTAAGGCTCCATGTGTCCCTATATGTACTATAATCTGGCTTGAATTTTCCTTCAACAAGCTTCCTCCTGGTCCTACTAGAGGTACTTATTCCTAGATAACTCTGCGGCCCTCTAAACTTTAATGTGCAAACCCAGATTCACTTCCCTATGAGTTCTTGAACCACTCGACCATCGGGCTTGGTCCAGGACGCTCGCGACGGTCGGAAGGCCTGACACTGATTCCAGACTGTGGGGTTTAGGGTTTAGGGAAAGTCCGAACACCGCATCCCTCGATCGCGAAACTCACAAATACAGGGGCCGGGGTCATCATTGATAACGTTAATGACTCATGGTTCCCTATTGAAAGGTGAAAAAACATGCACCATCATTTTCTTGCATGTCATGAGCACCAGTACTCTTCTTCTTGGAGGGTCGGGGGACTTAGTAACTGGTTATTTTTGGGACTTATAAGTCCATAACCCCAATTAGGGTCCCTTTTAGGGTACTTATAAGTCTACTTACTACCTACTTACTAAGTCCCTCGACCCTCCAAGTTGGGGGTTCAAGGATACAACTTTCGCCTTGACAGTCGAGTCGTTGGGTCTGGACAGGGTTTACGGCTTAGTGCTCAAGGGTTTTAGGGCCTGGGAGTAAGGGTGAGCTCAAAATTCTGGGGCATTAAACCCTAAACCCTAAATTAGGGCCTGGGAGTAAGGGTGAGCACAAAATTGTGGGGCATTTAAACCCTAAACCCTAAATCATGAAGCACGCACGCATCCCACAAGAGGCTTCACTGAACAAAGGCCTTGTCAACTTTGTCTTGGCAGGAGAGGTCTAAGTGTTCAGGGTTCCTTTGCAGGGTTCCTTTCAGCTGTAATGGTTTACACGGTTTAGGGTTTAGGGTTTAGGGTAGGGGCTTCAATAAATACCTATACTATTTTCTGGGCTTCCTTAGTACAATCACAGTATAATGGGCCCCAACACCTTGTTGAAACCCTTGTTGAAACCCCTGTATTGGCCAAGAACAGCCACCAGGTGATGCCTGCTCGCCCTAAACCCCGAAGACTCCAACCTCTACTTGGAGGGTCGGGGGACTTAGTAAGTAGGTAGTAGGTAGACTTATAAGTAACCTAAAAGGGACCCTAATTGGGGTTATGATACTTATAAGTCCCTAAAATAACCAGTTACTAAGTCCCCCGACCCTCCAAGTATTTGTAGGATTTTAAATGAATGGTTCGGGCGAGGCACACATGTGGGTGGGTATGCCTAGGAAACCCTAAACCTCATATTTCCAAAACCTCCTATAGCTAGGATGCCCAGTAGTACCCTTATTCCCTTTTTGTAGTCCTAGGTTCCTTATAAAGTTACTCAATACCAAGAAGAGAGGCCTTTTTATTCTTAGGTTACTGGGTATCCTAGATAGAGCCCGTAAAGGAAACCGACTTCTAACTTCCCGTGAACCTCGAGACTATAATATCATAGAACCCTTGTAGTTACCTTTACTTTGTCAAAGTTGGTAACTTTTTACATGTTTATGGGTACTTAAACCTAAGAAGGAATACAAATGTAACTTTTTGATCCTATCCCAACCATGAGCGGGTTTACAGTATCCCTTTTAGGAGCCCTTGACGAAAAGGGACCTGACCCCCCCCCAAATACCCTCCAATATACCCCAAATATCCATTACCAAGGGCCATATAGTGAAACCCAGAAAGTTGGAACATAGATTTAGGATGATTCACGCTGGGATTCCCTATCTTTTACTTTTAAGAGCATGAGGCTAATGCTCTATTCAATGGCTCCAGTAGGATCCCAAATATGATTCGCGGTACATTCCTTAATTGAGGGATATTGGAGTCTCTAAGAACCCCCACAGAGCCCTCGCAGAAGCCTGCAAGTGGCAATGCTCCAAGTAGACCCTAAACCCTAAACCCCCAAATACCCACTATAAAGGGCCATAAGGGCTCTATTAAATGGCCCTGGTGTGTCCTATCTATACCCGAAAATATACTCTAAACCCCACACCCCATTCCCTAAACCCCATGCTTAAAGAAACCCTCCCAAGCGCAAGGCTCTAAACCCGAAGCCCTAAACCCTACAGTATCCCATGGGAGAGCCCTTAAAGAAACCCTCCCAAGCGCGAGGCTCTAAACCCTAAACCCTAAGCCCTAAACCCTATAGTATCCTATGGGAGGGCCCTTAAACAAACCCTCCCAAGCGCAAGGCTCGTGAGCAGAAGAGCAAAAGCAAGCCTCGAGCGTCGCCTCCGCGAGCACCGCGCCCGGAGCCCTCGGAGGAGCTTTGGGCTTCAAGGTTGTTTTTGAGGGTTTTTTTAGTGGTCCTTAAAGGATTCTTTTGAAGGTTTTTCAATTGCGCTTGAGGGTTTTATAGGGTTCTTTAAAGGGGCCTTGGGCTTCAGGGTTGTTTTTGGGGTCTTTAAAGGGTTCTTTTCTTTAAAGGGGTCTTTTGAGGGGTGTTTGAAGGAGCTTTGGGCTTTCAAGGGTTCCTTTAGGGTTTTTTAGGGGTTTTGAGGGGTTTTGAAAGGTGCTTGAGGGTTTTAGAGGGTTCTTTTGAGGGGTCTTTAAAGGGTTCTTTTGAAAGGGGTCTTTAAAGGGTTCTTTTGAAGGGTCTTTAAAGGGTTCTTTTGAGGGGTCTTTAAAGGGGCTTCAGGGTTTTATAGGGTTCTTTTGAGGGCTTCAGGGCTTTTAGGGTTATTGTTGCGGGGCTTTAGAGGCTTCAGGGATTTTGTGTGTTATAGGGTTCTTTAAAGGAGGCTTGAGGGTGTCTGTGGTTCTTTTAAGGGGCTTTATGGCTGCATGGGGGGTATTATATACACGGTTTAAGGTTTAGGGTTTAGGGGCTTTATGGTTTAGGCTTTTCAGGGTAGCTTTTTGCTCCAGGGGCTTGCATGCTTCCAAGGGGGTTTCGGGTTTCTCTGAGGGTTTCAGGGTTTAGGGCTTAGAAGTTTAGGCTTAGGGGTTTTGGGCTGTGAGGCCTTTTTGTTTTAGGGCTTTAGGGCTTCGGGTTCTATGGTCTAGGACTGACGGTCTTATGCTTTAGGATTGGGGCGCCACTGGCAGGGCCCGCGGAGGATGGGCTTTCGCGCTTTTAGGGCCTTCCGTTTATCGTTTCGCTGTGATTGATGTTTATGTTTGTAGTTCCCTGTTGACTTGTCAAACTTTGTGCTGGGCATTGAGGATTTACGGCCACTCTATGTAGTTTTTTGTTCTTTGTGGTTTTGCTCCTGGGCTTTACTCGACAGTACGCCGCATCAAGAAGGACTCTGGCATACCGAAGAAGATATTCAATCCTGCCAGCAGCACAGACGGGCAAGATTCGGCTGCTTTGTGTCTCTGCTTTGCGACACCCTACCCTTGGTTCCGTATGGTGTATCTCGACATCGGATTCCTTCACGGATTCCGTGTTTCAGAGTGTGATGGGGGCATCCAACGCAAACTTCAAGCTCAAAACCCACAGGGGGCGAGAACAGGTGGAGGACCGAGGCGACAGCGTCCAGGACATCTACATCGGCCTGAGGGTTCTGACGGAGGCTTTGCTTGGATGGACAATGTAGGAACCTGATCAGAAACCCTAGGCCCATAACCCCGAAATTGTAGGAATCATATAATAAGGAACCTTAATAAAGGCCCAAGGTTCCTACATTATGGGAGGTCAGGACTGGGTACTTGCTCCAAGTGCACTCCCAGGACGAACAGCTCACCCCAGACCATGGGAATCCGAGTTGGCCAAGGGCAGGTGCTCTTCGATTCCCTAAGGGTCCATGTACTCATATAGTATAGACATTGGCCTTAATGTAGTCCCTAAAAAGGTACTTTGGGGCTCATGTATCTCTATATGGGTACATGGACCCTTCGGGATTCTTTCTCCGACATCCTCTTGAACTCTACGGAGTACGGAATCTGTGAGCGGGTCAAAGCACCGCCCCCTCACTCCGAGGAAGTCTTTAAAGCTTGGGGTCTAGGGTATGGAGTCTTCAAAGGGGGTCTGAATCAAGACCCGTTTCGGCCTCGTGATTCGTATGGACCTTATGCGTAGAGCCCATTACGGTGTGATTCTTGTAGTGCCCTGATGCCTGGGTCAGCTCATGGCAAATACCCCGAGGCCCATAAAGCCAATAGCCCGTTCAGAGCTCAGAACGCGCCTGAGCGCAGTTCCTCTGGTTTGCATACAATCACCCCTAAATCCTAAACCCTAAACCCTAAATCCTAAACCCTAAACCCTAAATCGTCCTATACTGTGTGGTTACAGCCGTGGTTCCTTTAATTCGAGGAGCGGCACTTATACCATTCCCACGGCCAGAGATGGATCTTGGGGATAGCCCAGTAATGGAGAATAGGATTATATACCAGCAATCAGCAACTGGAGCCAAGCTTACGCGGCATATCAGCTTGCGAAAAATGTCTGCTGCAAGTTCAGCTCATGAAAAACTCGCAATTGCATATCCTTGTGGTGCGAATGGTGCACAGTGCTGAACACGAACTGCGACTTGTTATTGATGTTTCCTTTTTTCATCAACCTGGCGAAGCACCCAAAACCCTAAACGCCTAAACTCTGAATCCCTAAACCCGAAAGCCTTATCCGCTATCCAGCCCTAAAGCCCTAAAGCCGAATCCCTTCTCCGCGAAAGCTGCGAAGTGTTGTGTGAGGAGCCGCTTCCGAAGGAGGTCGTGGCTGCACCAAAGGCTTGGGTGTCGTGGACGTGAGTATTAATGCTAACACTAGTACTAGTCAGTATCAGTGTCAGCAGTAACGAATAGTATTAGTATTGGTTCTAGTAATTCAAGTAGTAAAACTAGTATTAGTACCGGCAATAGTATTAGTTGTCGTATCAGGATTTTCTCAGTGTATGAAGAAAGATCACAGCGTACGCCTTTTTCCTAAAGAAGCAAAGCTTGAATTGTATACGTTAGAAGCTGCCCCCACCCTGTAATACTGGCGTAATAGGAATATTAGGGCCCTAATATAATCCTATATAATCCTTATGGTCACTATTACAGGGTGGGGGCCCCTTCTAATGTATACGCTCAACGCGAAAGCATGCAGCGCCTTTGTCACTGCCAGGATCTCTCACACCCAACGGGTCCAAAGTACCGATACAGTAGAATGTAGGGTTTCTATACTAATGAACTACTATTATGGTTTGGGGAAGTATTCCCCATAACACTACATAGGACCCTTTGGGACTCTTATTTCTGAAGTTTAAGGGTGCGTTCACGGGTGTTCAAATGCCCAGAACCTCCAACATTCAGGAAGTAGGGACCCTCGTATAGTTTAAGGTATATTCCTTAATTAAGGGATGTTGGAGTCTCGGGGTGGTTGCCGTGCATGAGGAGGTCGTGGAGGAGGTGCTTCCCACGCCTCCGGCTCCGCCTGCGGCCGAAGACAAGGGCGGCTTGGCAAGAAGAGTTTCGGGTTTAGGGCTTTTAGGGCGTTTAGGATAATGAGTTTAGGGTTCCTCTTAAAGGCTGTTTAGGGTTTGTAGTAATTGACAGAAGGTACCCCGAATGGGGCCGTAGGGTGGAGTGCCTGGTCTCCTGTCCGGAAAGTAACCCTGCACCTTTGGCATCATGCTGCCTTCAGAGACAATTCATAAAGTAGTCAGAGGTTCAAGACGTCTGAACCCTCGGGGTCCATACATCCATACAGTGCATGCTTTAGCCTTAAAGAAGTTCCACGAAGAAAGGTGATTACCTTAGGGCCAAAGTATATCCTATATGGGTACATGGACCCGAACTAAAGCCTACCTAAACCCCTAAACCCTGCACTCAATACCCTATAACCCTCAACCCCTAAACCCCTAAACAGACCCCTACCTTAAGCGACCATAACCGACCCTTTTTGTAGGTTCCTATTATAAACCCCAATATGCAATTTATAGGGACCCGACTTTTTTTTAGGTTTTTGTAGGTGAAGGTACACCATAAACCCTAAATGTCATTGCGACGCTGCCTAAGTCATCCCTAAACCCTAAACCCCTAAACCCCCTAAACCCCCTAAACCCCAAAACCCTAAACCCCCAAACCCCTAAACCCCCTAAACCCCAAAACCCTAAACCCCTAAACCCTAAACCCCCTAAACCCCAAAACCATAAACCCTAAACCCTAAACCCCTAAACCCTAAAACCCCTAAACCCTAAACCCCTAAACCCCTAAAGCCCTAAACCCTAAACACTTTCGAGGCGAAGGCGAAAACTCCACCGAGCCCGGTGAGGAGGAGGCGACACAGGTCTGATATGGGATGTAGGGTTTAGGGCTATAGTAGGGTTTAGGGTTTAGGGCTATAGTGTCTACGACGCAGGTCTTATATGGGTACCCAAAGGTCTTGGGTATTTGCTATATGGGTCATTATGATGTAGGGTTTAGGGCTATAGTGTTTAGGGATATAGAGTTTAGGGTGTAGGGCTATATGGGGCGACAGGGTTTCAGGGTTGTAATAGCAACAGGGCTTTACATGGGTGGTTGTCAAAATTAGGGTCCCTTTTTTGGGTCCCTATTATAGTACGGCACCTAATATTTAGGGTACCGAAAAAGGGGCCATGATTTTGACAACTACCCATATGGGTACCCAACGGGTCACTGTTACGAGGAATACGTCCCCAAATCATAATAGTAGTTCCTAATATAGAAACTCTACATTCTACTATATCGGAATCATAATCGTAATTCTTAATCTAGAAACCCTGCATTGTGTTGTATCGGTACTTTGGACCCTTTGGGGTAGTTCTCTCAACGAGAGTTTATAAGGTTTTGGGACTAATTAGGGTTTGAGTAGTTCATGGATGTATCTTGTAATATATGTATATGTATATATGTACGCTCATAATCCGGATAACTCCTGCTTGCACTGCATGCCTTCGAGGGGCATGCGGATTCGGGCAACAATCACAAATCTCTTGAGATTCAAGCACTGGTTCTGCCCTGCCTGGACTCTAGGAAACTTTCCTTTCAGGGTTGCACGCTTTTATTCTTATTGGCTGTAAACTCAACTTTTTTAACTTTTGGGGTTCTTATAAGGTAGTCAACTCTGAAAGTTTCAACTTTTATTTTGTTGGGTTTTGGGCCAGTGAGTATTTCCTTGTAATTTCTATTACAACTCCTGCAGAATCCTATTTCAGCCCCCACGCCCTCCACGCCAAACCCCACCAGCGCTTTACGCTTCTCGATTCCTACCCCCTAAGGCCCGATGTGCCTATACAGTATACACTTTGGCCTTAAGTAGTTCAGATATAGGTACTTCAAGGCTTACGTACTTTAAGGCTTAAGTGTATACTATCCAGGCACCTGAACCCTTACAGAACCCGTTCGAGGAACCTTTCAGGCTCAAGGGAACCCCTGAAGAAACCCTGGAAAAGGTACATGGAGCCTTAAACCCAATACCCTGTAGAACTCTCATAGAACCCTTACGTATAGCAACCCTTAAACGGAGCCCCTAAGTATAGACTATATGGGTACATGGAGCCTTGGGGTACTGACGGACAGGTACCACCTCCTCAACCTCCTCGTGCTCGCCTTGGAAAGATTTGGGTTTAGAAGTCTAGGGCATGAATTTAGTACATATCTGGCCCCAAAAGGAGTTCATATTAAGGAGCCCTAAAACGGTCGGTTTTAACCCACCAAAACCGACTTTTTTTGTAGGGTCCCTATAAAATCCATGTTGGGGTTTAAACCCGAACAGTGTGCCAGGGTTTAGGGTTTAGGGTTTAGGGTTTAGGGTTTTAGGGTTTAGGGTTTAGGGTTTAGGGGTTTAGGGGTTTAGGGTTTAGGGTTTAGGCCTTAGGATATACAGCTTTTCGGGACGTATGTAAGGACAATATAGTCATGAACCCACGAAGTGGCTGGAAAAGGTCGAAGATTACGGCATGAAGTTGGTGCATAGTCTTAGGTCTCCGCTTACCCAAAAGTATACTGAGGTACATAATGTCTGGCTAACAACCCTAAACCCTACCATTTTGCATCGGAGACCACAGCGAAACAAGTCTTGAGGCGCTTGGGGGTTCAGGGGTTGCTTAAAGTGCGGTACTTGGAGGTTCATGGGTAGTTCTGACTAGGGTTCCTTTAAGGGCTCTATGGGCTTTAGGGTTTAGGGTATAGGATTACAGGGCTTAGGGTAGTTCTAAGTAGGGTTATGAGTAGGGTAGTTATATGCATATATATGTGTATATATATATATATATAACACATATATTAGGGGACTTATAGCCCCACTTATAACTACCCATATGAACCTCCAAGCAGGGTCCACTCCTGACGCGGTTTCCTGATCCTTTACGTAGACGTTGGCATCTAGGGCGTTTAGCCCTGAACCCTAGACCCTAAACCTAAGCTGTCAAAAATTCTCACAAAATGATTTGCATAGTTCCGACCCATCCAACTCACAAAGGTCTAGATAGCTTGAATTTTGCCGCACAGGTGTGGCTCAAAGACCTCACGTCAAAGCAGCTTCCCTGGTAGCAGCGCTTGCCCCCCCCGCTTGACGTCCGAGATGGCGGTGCAGAGGAGCCTGAAGTCCTTAAGGTGGGTATACAATGGATGTGCTCGGAAGATTTAGATTTAATTCTGGTTTAGGGGGAGTCTTAGTTTCATGAGAGTGGGCCGCAAGCAAAACCCTAAGCCCTACAAGCCCCCAAAGCCGCCATCGTATATCTACGAGCCCCAAATCCTAAAGCCCTAGACTGAAGCCTGAGGTCGGAGCTTGCAATCTGCAGTGCTGTGATTCATGGCATTCCGGTCATGGGCACAATAGCACGGGCCTGCGGCGGCCGGCCCAAGCCCTACATTTGGCAGGGTTTATCTACTTGTCGGGTATCATGGGGAACTAAAGGTGAACCTTTTTGGATATATAAGGACTATACTACCCCAAAAGGTTAAAGGTTACCTACGTAGCCCCATTTAAGGGTCGCTCCTTCTGATGCCCTTTGAGAGGACATCCATGATGGCCGACGACTCCGACTTGCGCCGCCTCCAGGCGCACAAGAAGATGCTTCGATGCAAGCGGAGTGAGTCTCCGAAACCCGAAACCCTCAACTCCAAGCGCAACACCCCAGACCGTAAACTCCTAAACTCCTAAACCCTAAACCCAAAGAGAGCCGCTAAGGACTCAGCTTTGCAAGTTCTTTGCGGTGGGCGCTTGCACCCGTGGCTCCAGCTTCCTGTCTGGCTCCTGTTTTCATCTCTTGGCCTTTACAGTAGAAGCCCAAGAGTTGGAAACCCAATAGCCTCAATCCTTAAGAGTAATGTAAAGGGAATCCCAGCACTATTTGGCCTTAAGCCGGTTTCCAACTTTATGGGGTCTATAGGGTATTGCCTTCAGTAAGAGGGTTGCTATGTTCTGCTTGAAGGCGTGGTGATTCGGGGATTCAGGGACTTGGGTTTAGGGTTTTGCCTTTAAAGGGTAACTACTTGGAGGGTCGGGGATTTAGTATGATCTGGTTATTTTAGGGACTTATAAGTACCCTAACCCCAATTAGGGTCCCTTTTAGGGTACTTATAAGTCTACTTACTACCTACTTACTCTACAGTCTGGTTAGGGCTTGGTAGTTTGGGGATGTAGGGTCTGTTAGGGGTTTTGGGCTTAGGATTTAGGGCTTCTTTCAGAGCGGATTTGGGGTTGACTTCGAGGGTCCTTCAAGAGCGGTTACAACCTTAGTATGAATGCTGACCTACGTAGCACCGTTCTGAAACCTTGCGTTGCGCCTTTGCTTCAATGGGCGTGGCGACACTGTGGATATCATAAGGATCCTTAGGGGTGTAGGGGGGAGGGGTGAAGGGGACTATATTTACTTAAATAGGCCTTAAGGCCCCCTACCCCCCCTCCCCCTACACCCCTAAGGATCCCTATGATAGTGCTCTAGGACTCTTGGCTTTCAGTTGAAGGCCGTCAAACTCTAGATCCTAAACCTAGAACTCTACCCAAGCTTGGACGGTTTAGGGTTTAGGGTTTAGGGTAACCAAAGCCATATCTTAAACTCACGGTAGTATAGAAGTGCGTGCGTTTTCTGCCTTTTCGTGTAGCGTGGCTGGTTTAAACGACCGTGGTAAACATCTGGTACAAACTTTGGTAGTACAAGCCCTGTGTGGTGCGGGGTCTGGGCATGGGGTTCAGTGCTATAAGCACCACAACCACATCAACAACCCCCGAACCCGAAACTTCGAACCCCAAACCCCTAACCCCAAAACCCCTAACCCCAAACCCCTTAAACCCTAAACCCCAAAGCCTCAAGCCCTTAACCCACCGCACTTCAAAACGAACAGGCCTTAACACCAAAACAGAAAGAAAGCCTCCTAACACAGGTTAAAAATCAAACCCCTATGTAAAACAACGAAAACAAGCCTCCTACCTACAACCTCCATAGTCCATAACTCCTAAACCCTAAACCTCCAAAAAGAGCCCGAAAAAAGCCGCCCACCCCTCAGGCTAAACCGTAAGCCTTGAATCCTAAACCCTAAAAACAAAGCCTTTAAAGAATCCCACCAAACTATAACTCCTAAGCACTAAACCCCAAAAGAGAGCCCGAAAGAAAGCCTTCCATCCCCCCTAACCCCTAAACCCTAATCCCTATAAACTCTAAACTCCCCAAACAGAGCCGCCTAAAAAGACTTCAAAGAATCCCAACCAAACTATAACTTCTAAACCCTAAACCGCCAAAAAAGAAAGCCCGAAAAAAGCCTCCCACCCCCACCCTAACCCCGTAACCCCTAAACCCTAATCCCCAAACCCTCAACCCGACAAAAAGAGCCCCCAAAACGAAGCCTTTAAATAATCCCACTAAACTATAACGCCGAAACCCTAAAATGGTAGGTTCTTCAGAATTAAAGGTAACCCCCAAAAAAGAGAGCCCCACCCCTAAGCCCTAAACCCTAATCCCTAAACCCTGAGCCCCCAAAACGAAGCCTTGAAAGAATCCTACCCTGAACCCGATAGCCCCCAAAGAGAGCCCGAAAAAAGCCTCCCACCCCCCACCCTAATCCCTAAACGCTACACCCTAATCCCTAGACCCTAAACCCCCCAAAAAAGAGCCCCCAAAACGAAGCTTTTTACAGAATCCCACTCTAAACCTTAAGCCCCCCAAAAGAGAGCCCGAAAAAAGCTTCCCACCCCCACCCTACCACCCTAATCCCTAAACCTTAATCCCTAAACGCTAAACCCTCATCCCTAAACCCTAAACCCCCCAAAAAGAGCCCCCAACACGAAGCCTTTTACAGAATCCCACTCAAAACCCAAAAGAGCCCCCAAAAGAGCCCCCAAAACGAAGCCTCTAAAGAATCCCACCCTAAACCCCAAACCCCCCAAAAAGAGCCCCCCAACAAAGCCTCCCTCCCCCACCCCTTGTTCCCAGGCTGTGCCTTCGCGCACGGCAGCTCCCAGCTCCGCGAGCAGCCGGACTTCTCCAAGACGCCCAGCGCGCACGAGCCGGGCTTCTCTAAGGGTGTAGGGTGTAAGGGTTACGATGAGGTAAGGGCTAGCTATATTAATATGTGTAGACGAGTCGGGCTTCTCTAAGGGTTACGATGAGGGTTTAGGAAATCTAAGACCTGGTTTGATTGTGGCTTTACAGTAGAAGCCAGAAAGTTGGAATATCATTATCGTAACCCCTTTAAGGTAAATTATAGGGGATCCTACCAGAAATCCATATTCCAACTTTCTGGAGTTCCCTTTAGGTTCTGGGGTTTTGTGTGTTACGGTCTTGGGTGGGGGGTTTTATTGACGGATTGGTGGTGCGAGCTTGAGGGCTGCCAGGGTCTACCTAGACCCCGAACCCTCAGCTACTCTCTTATATATCCAAACACCCACTGATAAGCTCCATAAGGACTCCGCTAGAAGTGTATAGAGTAATTATAGAGTTTAGGGCACGAGGGTTACTCTAAAGGTTGCGGTTACTATAGGGCATATTGCAGCAGTTTTGGGCACAAGGGTATCTAGAAGGGCTGCTGTAATGGATTAGGGTTCTAGCAGAGTTAACCATCAGAGTAACTAGAAGAGTTACTGTAAGCAGAAGCGCAGCTAGAAATGTTGCCAAAACCCAGAGCCTCCAAAACCCCTTAATTAAGGAATATACCTTAAAGTATAATAGGATCCCTCATATAATTTAAGGTATATTCCTTAATAAGGGGTTTTGGAGGCTCTGGGAACGGTAGCTACAGGAGTTACTGTTTGGGGTACTCGACTATGTAGGCTGCTCGAAGGGTTTTGGACTGCATGGGTTTCGGGTTTTCGTGTAAGGGTTCCATTGAGGGTCCAACAAGGACAAACAAGGACATCCTAAAGCCAAAAACCCTAAACTCAAAAACTCATACACCCCAAGGACCCGGCTACGTCCTAAAAGCCGAAACGCTTTAGTGAAACCTTGCGAACATGGATTTCGGATGATGACGGAAAACCCTAAAGCCTAAAGCCTAAAGCCTAAAACCCTGAATGCGTACACGCCAAGGACCCGGCTATGTGCGGACTTCATGGAGCGTGGACGGTGCGACCGAGGCTTCAGAGTGGGTGGGTTTCCGCTT